TTTGTTCAGTCTCCGCCTCCAAATCTGCGTCTGACTCACCTGAGCCATTTCACGTGCCATAAGCGCATAATTTTTATAACACCTTTTTTTATCACAAGCACAAAATATAAATAATTTTGCGGCAACGGGATATATTCCTACACAACCATCCAGTATTTAAAGTCGTTTGCAGTCGCGGACAGGCACAGCAGGTGGAAAGTCAGGTCGTTCAGGACTGATCTGTTTTGAGGAGGAGGAGGGAGTGTTCACATCCGCGCGCTGCTCGGAGTCGCTTTCTTGCAGTTCAGGGCAACGACACACTTCTCTCTCTCTTCTCCAAACAAGCGACAGACATGGTAAGTGCTCAGATTTTGGTGTACGTTTTGTGGACTGTACTATAGTGTCCAAATATGCTAATCAAGTGAAGGTAATTTGCATTAAAACGGTTTAGCGCCGTGCAGAGTAGCGTATGTTAAAAAAGCTATTACGCCAATTCATCCATGAGAGGCTTGTGGCTTCCTGTTCATTGGTAAACTTCTTTTATTTATTTAAATCCCTAATACTTTATATAAAAGGTTAAAACTAGCTTGTCAGTTTAAAATATAAAGCAATTAAAGTAATAAAAGCTCATTGACTTTGGTGAGACTTGGTGGAAAAGCCATATTTTAAGGTTTCTTATTTGTGTAATACTTTTCTAGATAATTGTTTGGACAGGACAGAATGTGTTGAGCCACACCTTACATCAGACATGTTCTCATGTCAAAAGCTCTGAGTAATGCTAATGAACTGCTGGTAGCTATAGTGTGTTAATACTTTTGAACTAGAGTAGCTCATTGCTTGTGTCAGAGTTGTATTCCAATGGGATGGCTCTGAAAATAGCATTTAACTTAAGATTTCTTTGTCTGGATGGTTGCAGTGACATTTCAAATGTTCTCAGAACAATAGGGAAAGTTCACCCAAAAGGAAAAATACTCACCCTCAAGTGGTTCCTTCTTGATTGCCTATATATCTTGATAAACAATATAAAATCATGAGTTTATGTCTAATTTAAAGTGTTACTCAGGAAATTATATTTAGAGACATTCCAGGGTGAACGAAAGCAGCAGAGCGTCTTGAGGTGTAACTCGGCTTCTTGTTTCGACTTGTTTGTTAAGGAAAGGAATGTGAAGGCTGCAAACTGGTTCAGATTTCCATCTCTTACTTTTTAAACGCATATATAAAGATGGGACAGCCCTTATGGAATGTTGATTGAAAAAATACTTTAGCGACAGTCTGCTTAATCTAATATGTATAATTTTATGAGATTCAAACAATGACCTGCGTTGTGCGTTTTACAGTTATTTTAAAGTCATTTTAAAGAAAATATCTTTATTGGGTTGTTCAGTTCTTTCTTCTGCATATTTATTTTTTCCCACTTGTCTCCCAGGCCTCAGGTGTAGCGATCAGCGATGACGTGATAGCCCACTATGAATTAATCCGGGTGCGCCTCCAGGGTACAGATGAGAAAGAGAGGTTTAAATTGGTGGTCATGCGTTTGAGTGATGACTTAAAGAACATCATAGTGGACGAAAAAAACTGTTTGAAAGTCAAAGATGTGGAGAACGAAAAGGATGTCTTCAAAAAGATCATCAGTATGCTTCCTCCCAAAGAGTGTCGCTACGCCCTGTATGACTGCAAATATACTAACAAGGAGAGTGTGAAGGAGGACCTGGTCTTCATCTTTTCGTAAGAGACCATTTTCATTCATTGAAACTAGTTTTGTAGCTCATGATGGCATGTGTTCTGTGAAACTGTTTGGTTGTGCTAAACATGTTTCCAGAGTAAATGGAGTCAATTTGAAACTCATTTCAGAATAATTCGACATATTTCGGCTGTAGCGTTGTCAGATGGGAATGGGAGCATCCAACAACACCACCACTGATCAATGCTATTCACATAAAAATCTTTAATTGTAACATTCACAACACAGCACAACAGTCAAATATGTCTGCCACTCATTTCATACAAGCCCACTAAGCAACACTGCATTTTGCAAGGCAAACTATTGTATAGCACTAATTTCTTGCTTTCTCTTTTTTTTGTTTTGTACAGCGCCCCTGATGATGCCCCCATGAGGAGTAAAATGCTGTACGCGAGCTCAAAGAATGCTCTGAAGGCCAAATTGCCAGGTTTGTTACCTTTAAAATAATATTTAGATTTATCTGTGATGCATTCTCTTACAATGCACATTAATAGTTTTACAGAAAAGGGGAAAGTTAATAAACTATGTTCACATATATAAAGCAATATTTTGAGTTCATTGCTGTTCTTGTTTCTTTGACAGGTATGAAGTTTGAGTGGCAAATTAATGACAATGCAGATAAAGACGCATCAAGTCTTGTGGAAAAACTTGGTGGAAGCAAAATTGTAACGTCTTTGGAGGGGAAGCCTGTCTAAAATTTGATCCACCTGCCTTTTGTCAGTCTGTCGGCCATTATGAAAAAGATTACCTCTTAAAAACGTCTTTAGATATGTTGAGAAACTTTGTATTTCATTGAGACCAGTATTTGTAATTTGACCATATGTGAACTCTCTTGTTTATCCATTTGCATTCAATGTTCATTAATACCAATGTTGTTTTCAATGAAAAACCATTTTACAAAGTAACCGTAAACCTTTATTACAAATTATAATTGGACTGTTATCAAAAGCGTATACTGAAATAAAATCATATGATTTTCAATAAATGTTGAATGTGTCTTAACTAGGAATACATTTTTTCCCTAAAAATTATTGACATTAATACACATACTGTGTTTATCCTTCAGTGTTTAAAGAGGTGGTCCAGGGTGTGTTTTCAAGGCTTTATTGTGTTTATAAAATCCAAAGCAATGTGTGCTCATGCTTGGTTTGTAAAAAAACACGTTATTTCTTTATGCCTGTATACTTTACTTTGATTACATACAGCTATTCAGCTAACATGAAAACGATTGTCATATTTCCTAGTTCTTCCGAAAGTTTTAAGCATTCGAGTTTAAAGCTTGTGTAAGTTAGATTAAACATTGTTATATCTTTTGTAAGTTTATTATTTGAGATGTAGAACGCACAAAAAGCAGCTGCATAGAGAGACACTCTGCAGCGCTGCTGAAGATTGTGGGTGTACAGCGGTTTGACTGATATGAATTTGTAGCTAAATTGTTAACGCTGCCGAAGAGCATTTTTACTGTTGTTTACATCCTTGTTTATGTCCCTGCTACAACATATCATTAACAGTAAAAATTATGCATGTAATAGGTCAATTTTAACAAATAATAAATATGCATACAGGCGGTTTTTAGGGTTGGGTATCAATTGGGTTTATTTCAATACCGGTGCTAAATTGATACTTTTAAAATGGTACCAGTGCCAAAACGGTACCTGAACTGATACTTTTAAGCCTCTTAAAAAAATAATAATAATAATACTTTTATTTGACAATCTTTAAAAAAAATAATTTTAATAGAACAATACAATTAAAGTTTAAAGTAAACATCAAATTCATATTTTATATATTTTATACTTTTGGGGGGCACATTTTAATATATCACAAAATACTTAAAAAAAATATTTGAAGTCATTTTCATCTTCATAAACAAGAAAATTAAACTCAAAATAGTCTTAATTGTTTATTTATTTGACAAGTAACTTTGTACTAGCGTAGAATAACACATTTCTAACATTCAAGTACATCAAGGCACACTGTCGCACCTGTAAACTTTAACAGATAGGAAATACAGGTTAAGTCAATTTATTTTGCCCTTCCATTCATTTAAAATGTTTCTGAAAATTTTCAGTGTTTTCTTAAATATATTATTCTGGAGTTAAAATAAGTTGTATTTCTTATTGTTTATTTCTGGAATAAAAGCAGTTTTTAATTAAAAAAATTCAAATTAAGGTCAGTATTATTAGCCTCCTTATGAAATATTTATATTTTTTGATATACACAACAAATCAGTTACAAAATAATTGACTAATTATTTAAACGTTCGTAGTTAACTGATTAAGTGTTTAAATTACACTTTAAACTGAATCAAAGACAATACAATACTTAAAGGGACTTTGTCTGAATACAACCGTCTTGCAAAATAAATAGTAAAATATTATGCACTGACAGTCACCATGGGGAAGATAAAAAAAGTGGATATTAGAAATGAGTTAGTTAAACTATTATGTTTTAAAATGTGTTGTAAATAAATCACGTGTTGAAGATGGAAATCAAAAATGAATGAAGGCAAAACTAAACAAGCTGAATATGCCTGACATGAGCTACCTATTTGTGCCTTTGATGCACCCCTTGTTGCTTCTTACGCCCTTGTAGCAGCACCAGTGGCACTGAAATTCATATGCTGATTTGATCCGGTACATACCAATTACAAAGGTACCGGTGCTAAAAATGGCACCAGGTTTCGGTATCCAAACCTTGTTGTTTTACAGTTTTTAGCCGAGAGTTTCTGGAAGCTATCCTTTGTCAAATGCTAGCTGTATATTTTATAATTATCTGGAACAATATAAAAAATAATAATAATAATAAAATTGTAAGCACGTCTCTCTTTTTGTCGTGTCCTTCGGAGGCCCAAATACAGTAACAGAACAAGCTCGGTGGAAATAGCAGCATTTAGATGACATTTAAGCATTCTCTGCCTCATTACAAAACCTCTGGCCACACCGCTTTCCTGCACATGGTGAATGTGCGTATGCTGAAGTGTTTGTGATCTCATTAACCCAGATGTATTTTTTTTTTGTCCCCAAACTTTGTTCGCTGTAGAGTTTGCTAAACTAACTCCATTTAAGCCGATGTCTCTCTTTGCATTGAACTTTGAGCGTCTTACATTCAGAGCTGTTGTTTATGTTAACACAGCTACATTACACATCAACTAAAGTTTCAAATATGATATCATAGGGGACCACCCCTTTAACCTAAGTCAAAACTTAATAGGTTTAAATGCAAGTAAATTAAATGCATTTTTTTTAGGTAAACTCATAAGAAGACAGTAAACCGTAACTATGTTGCTGTTTATTATTTATTATCAAACTTATACAGTGGTGTTGAAGCCAGCTACAGAGAGGCCATTCCAAATGCTGAATCCATGTACCATACAATTATCCATACTCATTTACTTCCAAGTAATTAATTGCACTAGTTGATGTACGCATAACGTACATACGGTTTCCCTTTTAACACTGACATCAGGAGAAATGCAGGAACACGAAGGATATATATAAGGCATTGTTTCTGACATAGCCAGAAGGTTTTAGGTGGAATGTAAAGTGAAAATGGTTCCAGCGCATCTCCATAAAAACATTTGCACAAGTTAGGTTTCTCCATTGGTCTTCATACAATTTCTCCCATGACTACAGTACGACAAAAAATAATAATAATAAAAAAAAAACATCGGAATGCTTCATTTTGGTCATTGTAAGGCAATTTTTGGCTAAATGTTTTGCTTTCCACCTCAAACAGAAGTGCCTTGCTTCAGCTCTCCATCTCCTTCCTGAAAACAAAAGCACATCAATTCATAAGCACACAGCTGTACCACCTACAAACTTTTATTGTTATGAAAGCTTGTTCACCTTGTTTTGCAACTGATCGTGCAGGCTTCTGACTTTCTCCTTCTCTTTGGCAAGTTGGTCCTGACTGTTTCTCAGCAGCTGCTGAAGTTTAGTGGCTGCCTGGCCTAAATCTTTGGTCATCTTTCGCTCTTTCTCAAGACACTCCTTAAACAACACAAGCATTAAAGATTTACAGGGACGATTCTAACAGTTAAACAGACATATGAAATAATGATCATGCATTACTCTCTATAGTCCTGTCACATACAGTTAAAGTCAGAATTATTAGTCCCCCTAAATTATTAGCGCCCGTTTATTTTTTTCACCAATTTCTGTTTAATGGAGGGAAGATTGTTTCAGCACATTTCTAAGCGTAATAGTTTTAAAAACTCATTTCTAATAACTGATTTATTTTATATTTGCCATGATGACAGTAAATACTATTTTACTTGATATTTTTCAAGACACTTCTATACAGCTTAAAGTGACATTTAAAGGATTAACTAGGTTAATTAGGTGAACTAGGCAGGTTAGTGTAATTGGGCAAGTTATTGTACAACAATGGTTTGTTCTGTAGATTATCGGGAAAAAAATGAGCTTAAAGGGGCTAATAATATTTTCCCAAAAATGGTTTTTAAAAAATTAATAACTGCTTTTATTCTAGCCGAAATAAAACAAATAAGACTTTCTCCAGAAGAAAAAATATTATCAGACATACTGTGAAAATTTCCTTGCTCTGTTAAAAATCACTTGGGAAATATATAAAAAAAAAAAAAATTCGAAAGGAGGCTAATAATTCTGACTTCAACTGTATGTTCAGGATAAGACAAAGCATTACTGTGGTACAAGGGCTGCACAATATAATGTTTCAGCATGGATATCGCGATGTGCAATAGCTCCATTACAGAGTCTGCAATGTCCAGTTGGAATTATAATTCACCAGGAATTACAGTTTAGTGCACATGATTTGTGAAGTCACTGCAAATTTTAATTATAATCTAATAATGTGAAAGATTTGTACTTGAACATGTTTTTGTCTGCGACTCTTAAGATTTAAAGCAAATTTAAACCATCTGGCACAAGAAATGATCAAGTTTGCCGCTTTTACAAAGAATAATTGTGTTTGATTACTTTGAAGATGAAGACTATATAGTCATATTTCAGAATTGATAATTGGATTTGTGTACCTCAATTAGCCATGGGACCATTTACAAGGTAGACCGCAGTTAGTCAAGGTTTTAAAACCACCAAATAAAATTTATACCGTTTCTAAGGTATAGATAAGTTTTAAGGGCAATAGTATATCCAGCAGAAAAGGCCTCTAAAGATGCGGTTTTAAATCTGTGTTTTTGAAATTTTTCGATTTCTATGAATTTGGACATAATACTCCGTTCGCATACTGTTTTTTTAGCATACTAAATAGTATGGAAGTGTGCAAATTCGAATGCAACCTTTGTATTAAAAAAAAAAAAAAAGTTTGTTTCTTACCCAGATATTTAAAAATACATTTTAGAGCAGTAATCACAATATTACAAAACAGTCATTTTTATCCATAGTTATCATACCGTCAGAATCTTATAACGGCTCATGCCTAACCTCAATATTGTTAGGATTCCACTGAAAACCATAAAGCGCTGTTCATTTAGTTTTTATCTTTGTTCTGTTGTTTTCATCTGTGCTTTGATTTGTTTGGATATTTTATACAGATGTTCTCCCCTACAAAATCATCCCAATCAATGTGAAATTATGAATTATTTCCAAACAGTTACTCAAATACTTATGTGAAATTATATTCATATCGTAAAACATATTGCAGAAATACAAAATATCGCAATGTCACTTTTATCCAATATCGTGCAGCCCTACTGTGTACTGTCAATGTATAAGTCATTTGTTGAAATTTATTAGTACTTTATTTTGTGTGAACAGAATTTAAATACAAAAGATTCTGATTTCTATATTTGAATGGAACATTTTGAAGTCTCCTAATGTAATTTGACACTTTAACAGAATTTGTGTAAAATTCATAATTAAATTAAATATATGTCTATTGACATGTCAACATCAAAGTTTGTATTGATGGCCAAATATTTTTATTCTCTGGATAATGCTATATTTATCCCAAACATCAAACCAGAACAATTTAAACGAAAACTTAAACTTGGTCAGAAATGTTGTAGACAAATACTGACACGTCTCCCATTCGGCATGAATACAAAAAGGTGCATTCTTTGTGCAAATTTGGTTTGATGTTGAACTCTGTTTTAGTAATCCTTAGGAATACAAGTCGCAGCAAGTTTTAAATGATACTACTAAGTGACTATGTAAAATCTTTAAATGTAAAATTGAAGTACTGATTTGTATACATTTCATATTCAATTTCAAATCTTGTTTAAAAAATGCCAAGTACCTTCAGCTGAACAACATCTCCCATGGCTGCAGTGTCTTCAGCTGATTTCATCTGTTCTAGATGGCTCTGGAGATGAATTTTGAGGGTTTCCTGAGCCTAAAAAGAATGGGTTTAATAAATGTGAACAACAATTTTAAAAACTGAACTGAATTGAGAGTAAAGGTCATGGATATTGTTGTACCTGCTCCACTTCTGCAGAGAGCTGCTGGTTTAGAGCCTGTTCACCCTGCAGTTTTTCTAATGTCTGTTCAAGCTGATCCTGGACCTGACAAAAGCAAACCGAAACGGTCAATTAGCTACTGTAACTAATACAAGAACTACTGCTAAACCTTTCCATGCCATCCAACACAAGAGCTGCATTAGTGCACACTGCATTCAAAATAGTGTGAAACGAGCATAAAATCCTGCACAATCAGCAAGATCAAAGAAGTGTGAGTTTCCAATGCAAAAGATAAATGTTAGTGGTTATAAAAGGAGAGGATGAGAGAAAGAACCCAAAGGTGCAGCTAATTCAGAAGTGAAAACGGCTGGCTGGGTTAACACAAGCTGCTGAAACAAAATGCTGAAATATGAATGATTAGATTTATGAATAAGACGTTCCCATTGTTGGCAGCACTAGATAAGAGAAAAAGTTGTATATGCTGAATGTATGTAGCCACTTATGAGAAAAAAATTGGGGCCAGTGCTAAATTTAATAAATGGCTACGGGCTGATTCCGAATATTTTTCACCTTCTTAATACAAACTTTTTCTGTTGATTCAAATCGTTTTCACGGAACATGGATTCTGATGGATTCATTATACATAATACAGTGCTCTGCATAAAGAAGCACACCCTTTGAATTTAATATTTTTATAAATTTTTCAGTGAAAATAGTTCATATATTCGATTATAGCAGATTCATTAAACTTATATTCATTAAAATAATAGTTTGGTCACCTAACATCTTTCGAAAGATAACATTTAAATTCAAACTAAATCTTGTAACAACAAAAAGACAAACTACAAAATTTCACCCAAATGTAATATATATTTTTGGATTGTTTATTTTTCCTCCTGTACATTTTTATTTCATATTTTCCCCTAATATTCAATTGGGTGTGCTAATTTTTGGACCATTATCATACTTTTTTGTTAGATAAGCTCCAGATTTGGCTTCAATGCTTCTCATTCACTTTGAATGGGTGACGTCAGGCGTTGCCGAACTGCATTGTGGATCCATCGGCGCTGCATCAGTGGCGTTGATTGCTACAGAAGTTGGGAACTTCTCAATTTTTCAAGTGCCAATAGACACGTCAGCCAATCAGATTCCTTTATGCAAATACACCAGCTCAGACAGTAATCGATTGCTGACTAATTTTATTGGCCGTTTCTGCTATGATGATCGCATTAGCCCCAACTTCAGACACGTCCTCTGTCAAGCATTGATGCTGAAGCCCGAAGTTAATCGGGCGTTATGTATATACACAAATATATTGTATAGCATCCCATAGAAAATATTACTTTTAAAAGACAGATTTGTGCGGGGTGTACTCATATTCGGAGAACTGTACATACCAAAATTTTATTATTATTGATATTATAATTAGAATATCAATAATATTACAATCCATAATAGAATATCTTGTAGTATAGGGTAATTATGCATAGATTTTTTTTTTTAAAATAGCTCTTATGTCCAGTGTTGTGTTGTATTTATCATTAATTTATGTAGCACCGTTGTCCTACGAGACACGACATTTCTTATGTCCACACATGTAGCAGAATGACAATAAAGCTAGACTTGACTTGAGAATTATTATTAGGGTCTAAAAACTAGACCTTCAACATTTTATTGGAATAAATTGTACTTAATTTAGCACAGAGAAAATGCAATTATCAATATCAAACTTTAATTTGGATGCATGTAATGATGCATCTCTGAATTTTTTTTTATTGTATTAATTTTATATTTAATAAAAATAAAAGATTACAAAAACTATAATAACAAAATGCATATTTAAGAAAAAAACAATGATGAGTGAATTTGCCAATTGTCTCTGCATCTTTTCTGTAATCTGAAAAGTAAGCATTATTTTGGTTGACCATCTTTTGAAAGACTTTACTCATCCACAGCGCTACGTTGAGAGACAGCCATAGTACTAAAGACTCTATCAAGTGCTGCCAAGTGAGGTGCAGGGTGCCTTTCAGCGTCGCACCCTAACCTGACACTCCTCTGCCTCAGGCTGCCCGTTCTCCGCCACTCCCTGAGCTCGTTTTGTCACGTCGTTGAGTTGCTGCTTGACCTGGAAAAGGAAGCTTTAACTCAACAAAACCAACTTGTGTTTTTTATTTTCATGGGCAAAACCTTCTGCACAGGATTATGGATAAACACAATTGCACTGGCCTCTGAGTAAAACCAACTAACCTGTAAAAGTTCCTCTCTCTGTGTCTGTGCCTCCTTCTGGGCCGAATTCAACTGGCTTTCTGTATCAGCTAAAGCCTGCTTCAACTGAAAACAAAACGAAATGTCAGAAGAGAAAGAGTGACCTATTCACAATGCATGTCTGTCGGCACATAGCACAATTTACAATATAATGTGCTTCATGACTTTGACTGGGATGATTGTTGAGCTTTTGTATGTCATATTGTGCTTTAGTGAATAGGAGTGTGCTCTCACGTGTGCCATCTCTTCAGATTGACTCTGACTGTCAGTGGAAGCTGACTGCAGCTGTTCCTCCAACTGAGCCTCCAGCAGCTTCACTTGCTCCTGCAGCTGTGCACAGGACAAAATGATTAGATACGCGCATAGATTCAAAGAGGAATATCAAGTGCTGTTAAAAACGCATTTCTTTATATATACTACTCTACTGTATATACAACGACAGTTAATGTCTAAATTATTAGCCTTCTATAATTTTATCTTTTAAAAACATTTACCAAATGTTTAATAGATTTGTCCAGTATTTCCAATAGTATTTTTCTTCTTGAGTAAGTCTGATGTGTTTTATTTAGGCTAGAATAAAAGCAGTTTAATTTTTTAAAAACTATTTTAAAGTGAATATTATTAGCCCCCTTAAGCAATATTTTTCAGATTGTCTACAGAACAAACCATCTTTATACAATAATTTGCCTAATTACTCTAACTTGCCTAATTCACCTAATTAACCCAGTTAAGCCTTTAAATGTCACTTTAAGCTGAAAACTAGCATCTTAAAAAACATTTAGCAAAATATAAATGTACTGTCATCATGGCAAAAATAAATAAACCAGAAATAAATCAGTTATTAGAAATGAGTTATTAAATCTGTTATTTTTAAAAAGGTGTTGAAAAAAAAGAAAAGAAAAAAAAATAGCTGTTAAAAAATTAGGGCGAAAATATACAGGGGGGCTAATAATTATGACTTCAACTGTACATGAAGTAAAATGTTTTTTTTTTTTTTTACATCTATGATTGTAGACTATCTTCAGAGTTTTTAAAAATCAAATGTAGGCCTTTTAAAAGAACTTCAAGAACAGCACAATGAAATAAAAAAACAGACATATTAAACATTGTATGAGCAAAACACCAAGATTGACTGGGAGCGGAAATAAATGTAATGCATTATGTTGGTCTTTTGATTATAAACAATTTCAAATTACACTGCCATTCTAATTTCTATGCTTTCCTACTTTCAACTTCTCATTAAAACAGACGAGGGAGATAATGTTCACTGTTAAAACAATCAACAACATGGGTGTCAAACTCAGTTCCTCGAGGGCCACAGCTCTGCACAGTTTAGCTTTAACCCTAATTAAACACACCTGATCAAACTAATCGAGTCCTTCAGGCTTGTTTTATACCCAAGTTAGTGTATTGAAGCAGGGTTGGAACCGAATTGTGCAATTGAGTTTGACACCCCTGATCTACAACGTATTATAATGTAAAAAACAAAGTAAACATTTCCATAATTTATCAAGACTACATTATATAGGCAAACACTGAATCTGTATGCGCTGAAATCCTCAGATTTTAGCCTATCGTTGAGTCTATACGTTTACTTTTGTAAATGTGTAAATATGTATTGTTCAGTTTTTATATTCATTTCAGTAATATTGCTAACTAATATTCAAATGTTTGTATGTATGTATGACTTTACAATACAGTTTGTAAAGTAATATTTTCTCTTTTAGTAGAGATATTATATGAGATACTTGCTTTGTTTACCAAACATAGGGATCTAATTGGATTTGCATTGTAAACCTCAGATAAAAGTAAAACATTTATCGTTTTATTTGTCAAACTTTAAGTTTTTTAGTTGAAACACTCTGAAAATAATTCTGCATAGTCACAAATGTTTACTAAATTCTGTACAGAAATAGGATTTAATGTCCGCAGATTCTGTTAGACACTAATCATAAGCAATCACTTGGAATGGTGTTTTTGTAAGTGACGCAGCAAACCTGTAGCACTGCAATTATAATTTAATAATCATATTTTACATTTAAATGACAATTCCTGCACTTTATGTCCCCAAATTGAAGGTCTCTTAAAAATATAATTAAGAACTTTGCTATACCAGTACTACATCAAAGCATTACAGTACTAATACTGCATGTTTCATATTTCATTAATGCTTTGTTGTCTTGGAGATCACTAAGGAGAAGTGTTCAAATACACTCCTTTATTTAGATTGTCTGATAAGTTCCTATATGTATGACAAGTACAAATATTGATAGGATACTTTCAGGATGCAGTTGGTTTATGTATACAGCGCACACACACAAAACTGTATACCTGTTGGTTGCCTTGGCTCTCTGCTCTCAAGCGCTCTGCAGTCTCTTCTAATTCTTGCACTTTTTTGAGTGCCTACAAAAACAAAATGATCATTTGAAACTTATCACCAGACAGTGGAATAAACTTTTGAATTACCCACAAACACTGATACTTCCATGTTTGTGAATACTTAAACTAATATTCACTCAGTATTTCTTTTGCATTTACACTACGTCTGCAGAATTATGTATGTCAAACCTCACCATCCTCAGTTTGTCCTCAGATTCTGAAATCTTTGTCCTCCACACACTCTCCTCCTCCTCTACACTCTTCTGAAGTGTTTTCAGCATCCCCTCCTATTGAACAACAGGAAAACATCAGGCTCATTGGCATTCAGGCTTTGCTGAAACAGATTCTAGGGTGCAGAATCTCACCGTTTCCGCCAGAACGATCCTGTACTGTTCACACTCAGACTGTAATGTGCATTGACTCTCCTGGGCTGCCTGTAGCTTACCCATCATCTCCTATTAAATCAAAGCAACACTGTAAAACCACAAATATATATAAAGAAATCTAATGTACAGTGCTCAAAGTCACAACCTGGATCCTAACGTTCATCTGTTAATTTTCCATGTAAACTGTTCAATGCAGTATACATTTTATAAAGAAGAAACTTCAATACAAATAGTTGAGAACTCAAGAGTTTTACAGTCTTTGGTTTCAGGTGTTTTCAAGAAAAATATTCCTTCTATCCCCACTAGGGGGCTGCAAATAAGCACTTTATGACAAACACTTGGTTAGAAACTGCAGAATGCTTACCACTATCTCTGTGCTTTGCTGAGATTCTTGGCTTTGTTGCTTCTGATTTAAAAGCTCTTGTGCTTTTACAGCAAAGTCCTGCAGCCATTTGGTCTGAAAAAAAAATGAGCTCACATTCAGTGATGATGGATGTTAGGGCTGAACAATATGCGAGCATCGATATCACAATGTGTGGATCTACAATGGTCACATCGCAAGATTAGAAGTAAAGTTATTATTAAATATTATTATTATTATTATTATATAATTTTATATTTGATTGTTCAATTTCTACATTTGAATACTGTCAGATTCCCCAGAAAACCATAGGCCACTTTATTTTACTTATTTTTAGTCCATCGTAATTATAAATGTTTGTAATTTATCATATTTTATGCAGATGCACAGCGTAGAAAGACTTGGTCCCTCCAGTTGATCTAAATTAATGAAATCTTTCCAAATAGAGCGATTCAGATCATCAAGTGAAATTGTATTTATATTGCAATATATATCGCAACAAATCAAAATATTGTCATGCCATATTTCTAATATTGAGCAGCCCTAATGTAAATAGAAGAGCTGGAGTGGCTTTGTACATTCATTTTTAAAATAATGTCACTAACTGTTTATGACAAGACTAAGTGCACTACTATTCGAAATTGAGGTGTCAAAGTAGTGTGAATCTTTGTGTAAAAAAAAGCAAGCAACAATGTTAATATGATCAAATACAGTAAATGTATACACTTAATTCAGTTTATATCCATCTATCTATCTATCTATCTATATATATATAAATATATATATATATATATATATATAATTTATTTAAATATTGTTTTTATTAAAGAATTTTGTACAAATTAAGTGATTAAAAATCCTCATATATTACAATGATTTCCAAAAGATAATTTGAAATGGAAGTATATTCAGCCTCCAGACCTTTGAACAGTGATGCACATACAGAGAGACTGAGGTCATGTGTATGCGTGTTTCCAAAACAAAACACTATTACATGTGGATCCGAAAAACAGAACTGGGAAATGAAACTACGAGACGACTTAAACCCTAAATACCTTTGCTGTCTCTATATTGATGTGTGGGAAAAGAGAGTGAAGAACTTCTTTAGTTTCGCCCTGGAAAGACTTCAGCATATCCTCCAAACTCTCCTGTAATACAATTATAAGCTTATTAATAACCGAACGCAACAGCTTAAACAAAAATTCTAACTTAAGCACTTATATTCAACAAAAAGGCATGTTTTGTATCTCTTAGCACATTTCTAAGCAAAATAAATTGTAACAAATGGATTTAATCCGAAACTAAAAACTGCTGAGTAACATGATGACGCTCAAAACTTCCTTTCTTGATGTCACTCTTTTCAATACCAGTTATACCGGTTACATTTTACACACAGAAAGACCTGCGTATAGTGCTTTTAACGTCAACACTCCTGAAATGGAAATGTAAGAGTACTGTGACAATCTCATTTACGCAGTAAGGCCATAAACCCTGTCGACAAGATATGATAACATGTGTCTGCGCATATTTTTATGAATCACTGTGTACACGCAAGATAATGACATGCACGTCCACAATTGTCCCAGCTACTTACAAAACTCTTGCTTTGTGACTGGTTTAGTTCCTTGAGCTGCTGTACTTCCTGTTGTAGTGTTGTCATCAAGCTCTCTTTTTCAGATATTCTGAAAAACACCATAAAGAAAAAAAAAAACACTCAACGTGTAGGAAGGCATTTAATCAAAGAATGATGCTAACGTGGGTGGCTAGGGAGGCACATAAACATGCAGTGGCCTTCAGTGGGTCTGATTATGTACCTTTTATGTAGTGAATCTAGTTGGGCTGTGCTGTCTGCCAGCTGTAAATGAAGAGTGTGTTATTGGACACAGTTCAAAGCTATTTTTACCATAAATATACACTTTATCTTTGAAGGTCAAACATATAATAATAACAGTAAAATCTCACTTACTTTAGTGCTACACTGTTCCTTACATTGCCTTATCTGTTCTTCAAACAACTTCTCACGAGACTCCTTTTCTTTCAAACTACAGAAACAGGAATCATTTTAATAACAGATTATATATGTGAAATCTTGTGTGGATTACAAATGACGCGTACCTCTTTTGTAATTGTTCCAGCATTTCTTGGTTTTCAAGCTATGGATAATTTGAAAATGAATTAAATGAACAGTTAGTTCAGCATTTAAAAGAATGTTCAAGGTTTAGAAATCTCTTATGATAAACTTACTTTGTTTAGGTCTGAACTTTTCTCTTTAGCCTGTTGTAGTTCTCCCTGAAGAGCTGCTATTTGGGTATCCTTTTCTTTTATGCTTATATTCAAAACAAAAGACAAAATAAATTCATTAAAACTATTAAAACCAACTAAGATACTGAAGTGTATTAGAGAAGCTACAGAAAACATTGTACCTTTGCTGTAAATGCTGCACATCTGTTGTGCTATCCACCTACAATGAACAATGGAAAAGGATTTGTTAAAAAAAATAAAAAATAATAAATAAATTAATTAAATAAATAAATAAATAAAAAAAAAAGTACACACTTAGTGAAATTTACTAATGACTTACTAAAATGAGCTGAAAATGTCTAAAAAGCAGTACCTGATTCACCTGATTGGAGATGGTGTTTTTGAGTTGAGTCAGCTCTTCCTCAAGTGTTGAAACTGCAATTTCCTTCTCCTTCAGGCTTAAAAATAAAAAACACTCTAGGTGAATTAATGTTCAATGAACAAGTGTAAAGCAGATATGAAATCATACTATGTTAATCTAATTTAATTATAAATCATACTACAATTTAATGGCATTTACACAAACAAGAAAGTTATTCAACAAAAAACAAAAGTAATTTAAGTCCTATCTTTTGCTATGCTGTGTCTTAATTAACAATACTTATCTCAAGGGTTTTTAGATTTTTTTGTAATTGGAAATAATAACAAAAACACTAATTTTTCAATAAACACATGAAGTCATCTTTACCTCTTTCTTGCCTGCTCCAGTTCAGCTGTCACAGTCTGTAATATTGACCAATGTAAATGAGTTAATTGCTCTTACACATTTGATAATTTCACCTATTAACAGTTTTAGTAACCCACAATACAAAACCAAGGTGTATGTAAGTAATTAAGTCATTAGACAACTCATTCTGTAAATGTTCTGTAGGCAATCAAAAACATTTCTTTAGGGAGGTAATAATATTGATCATTAAAGTTATTTTAAATGAAAACATTATAGGACATACAGTGACATACAAATGTCCTTGCTCTGTTAAACAACACCTGTGAAATATTTGAAAATGAATTCAATTTTACAGAATTGCTAATAATTATTCATTTTATTAGGTACACCTTACAAGTACTGGGCAGGACCCCTTTTTGCCATCAAAACTGCCTTAATCCTCCATGGCATAGGATTCAACAAGATACTGAAAATATTCCTCAAAGATCTTGGTCCATATTGACATGATAGCATCACAAATTTGCTGCATCAGACCAGGCAACGTTTTTCCAATCTTCTATTATCCAATTTTGGTGAGCCCATGACGTTATTGCCAAATTCTGACCGGACCATTTGAATGTTGCAGCAGAAAATGAAACTCCTGATGAGCAGGCAACATTTTTTTAATCTTCTATTGTCCAATTTTGGTGGGCCTGAGCCAATTTTAGCCTCAGTTTCCTGTTCTTAGCTGACAGGAGTGACACCCGGTGTGGTCTTCTGCTGTTGTAGCCCATCCACCTCAAGGTTCGATGTGTTGTGTGTTCAGAGATGCTCGTCTGCATACCTCAGTTGTAACGAGTGGTTATTTGAGTTACTGTTGCCTTTCTATTAGCTGGAACAAGTATGGCCATTTTCCTCTGACATCAACAAGGCACTTGCACCCACAGAACTCACGCTCACTGGGTATTTTCTATTTTTCTGACCATTCCCTGAAAACCCTTGAGATGGTTGTGTGTGAAAATCCCAGTAGATCAGCAGTTTCTGAAATACTCAGACAAGGCCACCTGGCACAAACAACCATGCCATGTTCAAAGTCACTTAAATCACTTTTCTTTAGTTTGAACTGCAACAGATTGTCTTGACCATGTCTACATGCCTAAATACATTAGGTTGCTGGCATGTGATTGGCTGATTAAAAATTAGCATCAACAAGAAGTTAGAAAGGTGTACCTAATAAAGTGGCCGTTGAGTGTATATAAAATAGATAAATAAAATGATTATTTAATTTAGATTGGCAATAAATATTCTGCAATTAAGGCTAAAGTAGTAGTTTCATCATTCAGGCTAAGATTGTCATTTGATATAATTCAAATTGAGGTAATGCAAATTCTCTAGCAAATCATTAGGATTTTTAAAAGATTATATCCATCTACACACATGCAATGATTATACATTGAGACAGAGATCTGAGAGGATACCTCTGATATGTCATTTTGTTCTTTCAGCTGCTGCTCTCTCTCTGTCTGCGTCTGTTTCAGCTGGCTCTGCAGACTCTCCAAATGTCCAGTCCGCTCTTTCATTTCCACCTCCACACTGGCCACACGAGCTTTAGCCTCTAAAACAGTGCAGTGTGGAACAAAACACTTACTTTAAATTACTAATTCATAATGCGTCTGCCTAAAGCTGCAGTACACCATACTCAAGTGTTGCGTACAAGGACACATTGGCGATACTGCAAGAAATCATACTTTGCAGGACTTGAAGCCCAGATTTAATTATTACAATACTTTTCTAAAAGATTTCCGAAACATTCTGGTTGTATCTTATTTGTTCTGCAAGCTGTTTATATTCTGAGACACCAAGTGGGTGCTGACCTGCAAGAGCAGCAGCATCTTTCTGAGCTTGTTCAAGTTGTGCCTGAAGGTTGTTTCTGTTGCTCTGGGTCTGTCTGAGCTCCTCACTCACTTCCTCCAGACGCTTCTGCAGAGCTTGTTCAGCATTCGCCCTGCTCGCCTGCAGCGGACAAAACATAAGAACACAGAAAACACAGGTCAGGTTTGGTCACACAATACCACCGATGTCAGAGTGTTTATGAAGCAAGCAGGTTTGATCATAATACACAATCAAACATACAGTTGAAAACAAAAGTTATTAGCCTTCCAGTGAACTCTTTTCCAAATATTTACAAAGTGATATTTCACAGAAAAGATTTCAACACATTTTAAACACAATAACTTAATAAATAATATCTTTTGTCTTTGCCATGATACTTTATTAGCTATTTTGCAAGATACTAGTATTCAGCTTAAAGTACAACCTAAGGCTTAATTAGGTCAACTAGGCAAGTTTGGTTAATTGGACAACAGTAGTTTGTTAAGTAGACAATGGGAAAAAAAAATAAGGGGGCGATTGATATTGACCCTAAAATTACAACAACAAAAATATTTGAGCCAAAAGAAATTAGATTTCATTGAACATTTGTTGATTCTGCCTATGATTTAGTTACAATATTACATATCTAAACTTACAATGTAAAATTTAAAGGGGTGGTCCAGAGTGTATTTTTAAGGCTTGGATGTCTTATCAAAATGCAAAAGCAATGTGTGCTCATGCTTTATTTGTTAAAAAAAAATAAATAAATAAATAATAAAAAAAAAGAGTTCACATTATTTATTCATATCCCTTAATTTTTATTATATACTGCTACTCAGCGAACATGAAAATGACTGTCATATTTCCTAGTTCCTCTGAAAGGCTCGCCCTCAAGAGGCTCTGATTGGTCTGCTAACATATTGTGCTGTGCTTCTTGGATTGGCTCCACGTCATCAGAAGCAAAGACGCTCCTATGGCATGCACTGCTGTGAGAGATTCTGCAAGCTGTCCTTTGCCAAATGCTAGCTATATCTTTTTCATTAATTCTCTGGAACACAATAAAACTTGTAAGCACTTTTTGTGTATTATCTTTTGTAAGCCCAAATACAGACACAGAACAAGCTCTGTGGAAATAGCAGCATTTGGACAGTATTTTAGCATTCTCTGCTAAACGTTACAGCGTCTCTGGCCACGCCCCTTTGCTGCACAGGGTGTATGCATGTGGTGAATGCACGTAACCTGAAGCGTTTGTGATCTCACTAGCCCAGATTTATTCTATTATAGTCCCCAAACTTGGTTCGCTGTAGGCTTTATAAGCTAACTCTGTAAAAGGCAATGTCTCCCTTTGCATTGAACTTTGAGCCTATAACATTCAGAGATGTTGTTTATGCTCACACAGATATATTACACATCAACTAAAGTTTGAAATATGATATTGTCGTGGACCTCCCCTTTAACAACAACAAGAATAATAAAAAATAAATAAATAGAAAAAAATATTAGTCACCAACATTAATACTATGAAAAAGTATATTATTTAAATTGACAAAACAAAATACACAAAAACCAAATGAGAAACTATTAAAACTTTTTTTTCCACTGAAAGCCACTCTATATTAAAATTAACACTATATTTAAATTAATGTTAAGTTAATGCCAAATACTAATCTCTCACCAGCGATGCTTAAAATATAACATGTGAACGTTAATTCTCTGTTTGATTACTCAGAACAACATCACAACCTTACACAAAAGGAGAGAGTTTCCCCATTGCTTGCTCCACACTAATGATTAAGATGACTGACTCACATTCTCCAGACATTACCCATGTCTCTCCTAATCCAGTACACCGTCTAGATGCTCAAAATGGGCTCAGGACACACTTCAACACAAGGCTGCTATTTATTCTGTGGCCTTTTGGTTTGTAGCAACGGATTAGCAAAGAGACGCAGTTTGTTCTCGAAGCTAAATCGTTGTTATCAGTCCTTCCAGTACGGATAATCAGATACTTCTGTCTGAAACTGCACTGCTCAGGCAGGCTCACATTCCAGATCACTGGAAGAAGCGCTTCCCTGTAGTGCGGGCCATGTTCCAACCCACAGCGCACTGCTGAGCGATCAAACTGGCAATCAAATGTTCTGCCAGCATGGGAACAATCCCATTAGCAGAGGCACCAGCACTGGGGGGTCAAAGCCTGAGCTTTACCAGCAAGCCTAATCAAGCTTCTTTAATGCACACGCAGATTGAAGAAACTAAGCTCGCCTACCTGCAGACGTGCAAAGCTAAACAGCCCAGCGAGAGGTAGCAGAAAGCACTAATGAGGCTTGTGGTCATGCTGGGAGATATTTTATAAGACTTAGAGTGTCATTTTGAGCTCTTTCGTAGGGGGTATCGCTTTAGCTCTTTGGAACAAAACTAATTACAAATTGACAAACTAAACACTAAGAAATGGCATAAGCTGTGCAGAGAAATGTTTTAGCAAGGTGTGCATCTGACCTGCATCTGGTTTAGTTGTTTTTCAACGCTGGCGGCTTTGGTTTCTAGATTTTTCCTTAGTTGCTCGTCAGCCTGCAATGCATCGTTCTTCTCCGCCAGTTCTTTATTCAGCCGAACGCAGTCCTGACGCAGTTTGGCCAATTCAGCATTTTGTCTGATGAATCAAAAATAAATAAATATGATTTAACAGATGTGTAGGGCTAAAGCATACAATTGGTATTCCCTCAATTGGTCATCCCTTTAACTGCCCACCAAAAAAAAAAATTGGATTGCATTTCTTAACTCATAATGTTCCTAGTTAACACACTAAATGCATTTTTTTTTTCAACACATCCCATAATTTCTAAAACACCAACAATTTTGTAAAGGTTGATATGTCAGTTTATGGTCAAGTACCAGAATTAATACAAACTATGAAACATGAAGACCAATTTATTTTAAAAACATGATAAAAAAATAAACATTTTTGAACACTAAGCATCTTCATTTTTGAAGTATGCCAAAAATTCTCAGATTCTCATTTAACATATTTTCTCGTTTGTTTGTTTTTTACAACAAAAGCAAAATCAAGTGTAGTAGTGAAACAGGATTAAGTTTGTTTAATTTTTTTTGTAAATCAACAATTCTGTGTGTAAACTAATATTTAAAACAGTCGATCTTTAAATGACTTTAACTGTCATTATTTAAAACATGTCAAAACATGGTCAACCATTTGGTAGAGCAGGCAGTTAAAAGGTTGAGGTGTCTTGCTTTTGAATTCTGCCATAAATTAAACTCCATCTGACACTGATAGAATGAAAATTAAATGTTATGAAATGTGCCAGTGGCTGTAGGAAAGGATGTAAAGGATGTGTGCCATCAGCAAGAAAAACGAAGACCAAGTAGATTTTAAATAAAATATTCAGACAAAAATAAAACAGATACAATGAAATACATATAAAAATAAAGGCAATTACTAATGTTACACATACATTATTGCATTTAAGATACATATGGTACATTTCTATTATTAGGAACTTAGGAAGACAATATTTTAAATGTTTGTAATGTATATTACTGAATCATCAACATCGAAGGAATACATGGCTTTACAAATGAGACAAAAAGTATCAATTTAATAGCAGGCAAGACTAGCAAATGTGAGCAAAGTTTTTTTTTATCATAACCACTAGCAACCATTCACAGTATTACACCAACACATTTTTGCAACTACTTGGTTACTCTATTTAATGTGTCATGCCAGGAAGTTTGTTGCAAACTATCAAAAGTTCTGAACAGGCACGATCTTCAAAGGTAGGTTGACTTGACAAGCCACCTGTAGGAGAGACTCTTTCCTCCCCATGTGCATGCATGCGTGTGTGTATTTGTATGTTTATACACATATCTACACAAGTGTTTATGCAGGTATTCATAGATAACTTCAAAGGTGATGGCTTTCTGAGTGTTAGATTTTAACTCAAGTAAGGTGCGTGTATTAAATTGAACAAGATTAGATGCTTTTAAGGCGTCTGTTTATTCCTGCTCTCTGGTGATTTAAAGTGCTTCTTTTATTCTCATTAGCAAGTAAATCTCTTTAAAATAAAAATAATCTGCTAAAAGAATAAATGTATTCGGTTTTGCAGGAACTGTAGGTTCATACTTGCTCTCGGTCTGACTGGTAGCTTGGTTAAGCGCATCTCTGAGAATGGAGTTCTCCTGCTGTAGACGGGCCAGCTGAGCATTAGGGCCTTTCTCCAGCTGGTCCTGGAGAGCCAAAAGCTGAGAAGCAAAAGACAGGGATTAGTGAAGTCATGTCAATATCAGAGCTGCCAAAGCTCACTAATGTGATTAATTAAAAGCATCTAATCTTGTAAACTTAATACATGCACTTTAAATCTAACATTAATAAGAAAACCTATAGAAACTAAATATAAACAATACATTATAAATAAATATATATTTTGAAATAAAATAAACTGATTATTAGAGATTGTTAGAGCTTCAACTACTGTCATACTAAATAATATTATTAATGTCATGTCTGCCATTGTCATGCCAAGAACAATAATAAAAATACAATTAAAAAAAATAATCAACCAACAAATGATTACATGAATTAAAGAGCCCATATTATGGGTTTTTGAAAATTCCCCTCCATGTAGTGTGTAACACAGCTCTAAGTGAAGTGAAGTATCCAGCTAAGGCTTAAATCTGTAAGAATACAGTGTTTAAAACGGTTGATTCATCTATAAAAGAGTCGACTCATAGTGCTTCAAATGAGTCGCCTTGATACCGATTCATTAGGTGTTTCGCCATGACGTACGAACGAAACCAAGTTATTCACGTGCACGCGCAAACCCGGGAGATTTCAAACCTGAGGCCCCGCCCTCTGACGCAGAAACCCAGTCACACACACACACACCCACAAACACACGCACACAAACATGCCGGTCGATTGAAGTCACACTGCAGATGGATATTATCGAGGGTCTACCCAAAGTTGAAACATCAGCATTATGACCAAGCAGTTGGAAACTACTGGAAACTTCTGGAAACTACATGCTACACAGAATACTTCATCTGCGTTTGTTAAAGGAAGGATCAGTAAAGAGTAACTTACTGCTGGACATGTCAGGATGGATTTTTCTTCCTCCATTTCTCAAATGTAAGTACGTGCGATTAAAATTGTTGCCTTGTTGACTCTAGCTTGCAAATGTATTTAGTTGTGATTTGTCACTTGTAACCGCGTGTACTGTATCAGGTTAACTGGCTATATTCTCTTATCGCGTGCAAAGTCACGTTAAAAACGCGACGCGTGCTGTTTGTTTACGGAGCTCCGTGGTAGAGGTCTGCATTCCCGCGGCTGTCCCCGCGCCACAGAAATCTAAATAAATTTGAATAAATTTCCGAATAAATCGCGGGAGCGGTCTGTAACGGGTTTAATTTGGGACAGGAGCAGGCTGTCTAGCAATATCACGGATATTGCTATGCGAATGAGAAAGATGTGTCTGCTTGGTGCTTGTGTGTATGTGTGTTAGTGCGCACGCGCGCGTATGAGAGAGAGTGCGAGCGAGAGCTTTGTGTGCTTGGTCTTGTGTTTGTGTTTATACAGACAGGTTGGCTGTCTGGACTGTATAGCTGGGTGATATTTGGTTGTGTTCTCCCCCGCTCTAGCGGGATCGGGCGCGGCGGGCAGAAAACGGGGCGGGTTCTCAGGCTAAAACCTGGCGGGTGAGCGTTGTTGTCCGGAGGTGTGTGTGTGTTTTTGTGTGTGTGTGGCAGCTAAAATCCACGCCTACACTATGGAGCACGTATGAACTGTGATTACTTTTATACTGCTGATTAGCTATTGGGCATTTCATTCTCTGACTGAAGGCAGTCGACCAATCGCGACAGACTGTCATCGGTCCAATCAGCGCAGAGTAGCTTCGCGCTAAGGAGGGGTTTGGGAACAAATGAATCACTGGACGATTCATACAGGAGTCGCTGGGATAATTAGGTAAAAATAAATGCAGATTATAAGACCATGAAAGTGTTTTTTGACCTTGCATGCATATTAGACTGTTGTTGGAGACCCTTACAACCAAGATATGACCCTATTTCATGTATAATATGGGCTCTTTAAATAACATTTTAAGTGCTAATACATAATTTTTTTTTTATTGTCCTATTAAATAAATATTTTGCTCTATGTCATGATCGTGTGTAATAAATATGGATGCAGGTGTAAAAGCAGAGAATAAAGTTCTCACTTTAGCATTGAGCTGCTGAGACTCGGCTAGGTGGTCTTGGTAACTGGCCTGCATGCGTGCTTGCAGTGCGATGATGTCCTGCTCTCGCTTGCTCAACTGAGAGCTTAGCCTGGTCTCTATTGACGCCACCTTAGACTTCTCCACAGACAGCTCCTGTACACAAATCAAAAACAGGTCACTATTTACTATTTGGAGTGAAAACAGGCTACTACAGACACTACAGTGCTTATAAATCATATTATATATTTTTGTCATGTCAGCAAAATAGGCTATTTTCATGGCACACACATTTCATTAATAAATTTCACAAAATAAATACCAGTGTGGCTTTACAAAGAATACTAGAAATGCATATTTCTACTCGGAGAGGCCATTAAACTGATAAGAGATTGCAATTTTAAAAAAGCAATTTTTTTCTACTAATTCTAATTCTTGATGCATGAACACATATAAAACTTTTCCTAATTCACATATGGTTATATTTTCGACTGGTATAAGTGTTTTCACGGCTTACTTTATTCAAATCTCTTAGTCGTCCTTTAGCAGCTGCTGCATCCTCCTGCTCAGCTGCCAGCTGCTTGTCTCGTTCCTCCAGCTGTTTCTTCAGCAAAACTACCGGATCTCCCTTCTGTGTGGCCTATAAACATGCACAAAACAGCTTAGACAAACTTTCTGTTTCAGTTTAAACAAGGTGATGGATGTAAGAAGACAATGAATTACACAGTATTTTTTCTTGATATATCCATTAATACCGTTGTGTTTTTCATTTCAAATTGCATTTTAGAAATAAAAATTCATGTCTAATTATTTGCAATCATTAAAAGTATATGATTTAATATAAAATATAAAATTTATAAAATTTAAAATAAAACAATTTTTTTTACTTAAATTCCATTTTATTGCAGTTAAAATTAAATTAAAACAATTGCAATGAAAAAAATAACTATGCAAAAAATAAAAATAACTGTTATTACTACATTTAGAAGTAAATATGTCTGTACAAGGGCTGCACAATATATCATTTCAGCATCAATATGGCAATGTGCGCATACGCAATAGTCGCATAGCAAAGACATGCAATATCCAATCTGAATTGTAGTTGACCAGGAGCTACAAAATTACGCTTAGTCACTTTTTATTAGGGATTTGTAAGATTTTTGCAAAAAAAAAATCTTACTTAGAATTGTCGTCTTGTTTCTAGCCCAAATATCTCCATTTCAAAGCAAAAACAAGATCATTTTACAAACCACACTGGCAGATCATTTCCTTAAAACAAGCAAAAAACTCTTGGTTTTCACTTATTTCTTCAGACAGTAAAAACTAAACAATATTTTTACTTGGTTTAATAATTGTTTTGATATTTGGACTAAAAACAAGACCAAACAAAGTAGGAAAACTTTTTTTTTTGCATTGTGATTATTCAATTTCTTTATCCGAATACTGTAAGATTCCCTAGAAAACAGTCAAATAAAGATATTCAAACATCTTCCGAGACTGTATTCATATCGCTATCAATATTTAATAAAATTAAAACCTTGCAATATTAGTGCAGCCCTAGTCTGTACGTTATTAAAATGCCAATATTGCTGTCAGAGCTTTTTCAAGATGGGCAGCGAAAATTAAATTTTGTTATATAAATGATAGTCTTCCTCAAATAATCCTTTAAAACACTTGTGAATTCACAAGACACATCCTCTGGGTACATAGAGCAAACAAAACCATACTATTTTTTCACACACGCATACAAAAAAAATATGCAAACATATATATCAGTGACATTATGCAGTTTCACAACCACAAGACTGTATGGCGTTTATAAGATCTAATGACCTACGGAGTTATTCACACACTATGATTCAGTCTGTTTTCCACACCAAGTAAATCATATGGTCCTAGTGTATTAATAAGACTCATTTAAAAATATAAAACCATTTATGGCCATACCTTTTGCCATGTGTCCTGAATAATACCAGCCTTATCAGACAGAATCTGAATAAGCTGCTGAGCTTCTCCTTCACTGAACACCATACTCCTCACTGTGGAAAGCAGGGCTTTGTAGGGCAGATACAGTGGACTGTCTGCAGGGTCTGCAGCCACCGCTAGAGACAGACACAGAAAAGATCATATAATTAGATTATACATTAAAATGTTTGATGGACACCAAATCAGAAAGCTATGAAGTGCTTTGGTTTTGGTTCCCAGCAGCGTGCCCGATAAATTCAAGCTTACGAGCAAGTTCTCTGATTAATTTTATAGCCTTCCTAAACAATCCCCAATCTACACTTCAGCATCTAATCAAACATGTTCCCTCTTGATCAGATCAGCACAGTAATGAAAATAAAGCTGAGATACCAAAAGAAGTGCATCTTCTTTGTAAAATACAGCTAACTAGAGTCTTATTCGGTGCTTTTGTGCATGTACTATCATGTTCTTTTTATTAACTCCCTGTGTTATTTAGACAGGGCCAGTATGGCATGTGTGCAGTGTGGCACCAGGGTGAGATGGCACCCAGGATTGGCAATAAACTCCTATTGTCCAGTCACTAAAGGCCTTTGTATGCCTCCCTAATGGAGCAGCTGAAGCAAAAGTACTGTTTGAACAGGGCCAAGAGGGCTGTGCTTCATAAAGTGGAATTTGGGTGTACAGAAACCCACCTGGGTGCCGTCACAAACACTCTGCATTCTCCAATGCAAACTATAATACCTCATTACAAGCGAGTGGAAAATTTACTAACTGAGATTATGAGAAAAGAGATATGATCAGGGATATTTTAGTATAGTTATCATATTAGTGTAGTATTTGCAAATTTTGTTCTATGCATTTTAACTTATATCAACATTTCTAAATTTTTATATTGTCTTTTTAAAAAAATAAACAGTTTAATTTCTTAGACTTATGGTAATTATTAACTTAAAATTGCACATCTCTTACCGTGCAAAGAAGTGTGCATGAAAGAGAAACACAGAGTGAGCAACTAAATAGGAGTAATATTATGCACAAAATGCAGATTCATTTAGACTATGAACCATATTCTAAATTAAATCTTTATCATCAAACCATCACATATGCCTGTGAGCTAGAACAAGCGTGCATGAAATCCAGCACAAGAGCAGAAAAATGCAGCTCACTGCCTCCCTTCCCCAGTGAGAAGCACTTCAGACACAAGCCCACTCTGAGCTCTCAGCAGCCAATCAGAGCCAACATCAGCAAATAAGGAGTAGTGCTTTTTCAACACCCCGCCCACAAAGGAAATAGAGCACATCAGCGCTATTTGTCAGAAGAGACGATCCAGACGGTACTCTGAACTAGATGAATGACATCAGGAAGTGACACTCGTATAAACTCAGAAGTCAGCCACTTCACATACACAGTTTGTTCAAGTTTTCCAGACTCAACTTGAAGCTTTATTACACATAGACGTCATCTGTGTGGTCCAGCCAAAACGGTAATCTGTGTATTTATGGGTCTGGCAAACCAATCAGAATCAGTATCCTGTTTTTCATACTGAGACAAACTTCCTTTAAGATATTCCTAGGTTCTGTATATTATTTGGACAGGTTTACTTCATTTTCCGTCCTTAATTTAGCATCTGCAACACTACTACACTGCCTTCTTCTGAAAATGAGACAGATCAGACAGATCTAATAAGGCCACTAGGTTAAATAATTAAAGTGTGCTGTGCTGCAATGCACAGTCCCTAAAAAAATACACAACATGGGGTCTTTCATTATTAAAGGAATGGTTCACCCAAAACTGGAAATTCTATAGTTTACTCACTCTTTACTTTGTTCTATTTGTTTTCCTTTCTTCAGTTTCTTTTTCTTCCTCATGTGATACAGAATGTTTTTGAGTGTCTTTTTGCTGTTGAACATTAAAGAAGATATTTTGAAGAAACTTTTAAAACCTGTAACAATCAACTTCTATAGTATCTGTTTTTCCTACTATGGAAGTCAACGATTACAGCTTTTCAACTTTTCTTTAAAACATCTTCTTAAATGTTCAACAGAATAAAGAAACTCAAGAACATTCTGTATCACCTCAAGAGGAGTACCTTTTCATTTTTGGGTGAATGATTCCTTTTACACTTCCCCCAACACAACATGCATCCATTTTGAAGTCATAAAAGTACTAAATGGAAAAGAACTAATAGAAAAAAACAAGATTACTGAAGTCTGATGATGTCCTGCTACCTCATCCTGACTACTACTGCAAACGGTTATTCCAGTTAAGTGAAATGTCTGAAAAACCAAATACAAAATGTTGAAATTTTGCCAAAAACCAGGTGGGGGCAGTGTCAAACACTTCCTTTAGGTCTGTGTACCCTGCCTTATTATCTGACCACCTAATATATGCGTTTTGGTGGAGATAACTGCATACCTGGCTCAGCCTTTTTCTTGGATCCTGATTTCTTCTTGGGTGGAGCATCCTGTTTAGACTCTTCTGCCTTCACTGGCACAGCAGTCACTGCTGCAGCTTTCTGAGTGCCCACCGGAGGCACTGCCATGACGGGAACTTTTTTAGTCACCACCTCCAATGGAGCAACTGATTTGGGCTGAACCTCAGCAGAAGCAGACTCTGCTTTGCTTTTCTTCTTTCTCTTACCCTTAGGAGATGGAGCAGGTGGGGCATCTTCAACGGTAGGACAGGGTGGAGCAGGGGTAATACCTGAAGTAGAATTTTGTGAAGAAGCCGGGGCAGATGGGCTGGGTTTTCTGTCAGGTGGAGAGGATTTCTGAGCTGGGGCAGGTGGAGCAGCTTTTTGTGCTTTGACAGATTTTTCTGTGGGTGTTTCTGATTTCTGGGATGCGGCGAGTGGAGTGCCTTTCTGGGGCTGAGGATTTGAAGCAGGTTTTTGGGGTGGGGCAGGTGGAGATGATTTCTGTGCTGGGGCAGTTGAAGCAGCTTTTTGGGCTTTGGCAGATTTTTCTGTAGGGGCCGGCTGAGCAGATTTTTGGACTGGAGCAGGTGGAGTGGGTTTTTGGGATGAGGAAGATGACGTGGCTTTCTGAGCTTGGGCAGGTGGAGCAGCTTTCTGGGCTGGGGCAGTTGTAGCAGCTTTCTGGGCTGGGGCAGGTGGAGTGGCCTTCTGGGCTGGAGCTTCTGAAGCAGACTTTTGGGATGGAGCAACTGTAGTGGACTTCTGGGCAGGGGCAGCTGGAGCTGACTTTGAGGCTGGGGCAGGTGAAGCAGGTTTCTGGGCAGGAGGAGGTGAAGCAGATTTTTTGCCAGAAGGATTTGGAGATGTTTTTTGGGTGGGAGGCGCTGGAGAGGATTTCTGGTTTGGAGATGCTGGAGAGGTTTTTTGAGTGGGAGGTGCTGGAGCAGATTTTTGGGCCGAAGCAGGTGGAGCAGACTTTTGGGCTGGGGCAGGTGGAGCAGCCTTTTGGGCCGGGGCAGGTGGAGCTGACTTCTGAGCTTGGACAGCTGGGACTGATTTCTGAGCCAGGGCAGGTGAAGTGGTCTTCTGAGAAGAGGTGGGTTGGACAGATTTCTGAATTGAAGCCTCTTGTTTGGGTGCTGGCACAGCAACTTGTTCTGGGGCTAAAGGAATGGGAGGACTAGGCTCATTTGCTACTTCAGAAACCTCAGCAGTGGACTCTGATTCCAGGAGTTTCCCATTAGGTTTATCTTCCTTTTTCTTACTACGATTTTTCTTCTCAGCTACCTTGTCCTTTTTCTTCTTGTCTGATTTTTGGCTGGATTGGGTCTTCCCTTGCTCCTTGCGCTGTTTGGCTAAAGCCTCTTCATATGACGTCTCTTTCATGGAAAATGTTGAGACCAAAGCAATCCCAATGGCTGAGAACACCATGAAGCCACCAAACACCACAATTCCAAGAGTTTGAGGATCATAGATGTCCATGACTGCAAGTGTCCTTACTGATTAAAAAGTAAAAAAAAAAAAAAAAAAAAAAAAAAAGGTATGATTTATGGCATTATACACAGAGAGAGAGACCATTTACATTAGAATTTCATTGATTCCTTTTATTAAACACATTTATTATATTTTAAACACATATTCTAAAACTTATACTAAGGACATTTTAATGTTGGCTTATGAATGTCGACTTTAGAAACATTCAGAAAACATAGACTTTAAACTGAACAATGGCTTTCTGTTCCAGATGTAACCAGGAAAAGACAACCAAGCATGATACCCTCAAATCTAAGTAGATTTTTTAAAGAAAAAAAACTTCCATTTAATTTACAAACACTGCATTTGGTAAAAGAAGGCTGAGTTACGCAATATAGATTTCAATTCCAGCATGTGCTGCTGTCTGCCAAAGTAAAGTTCTGTACTCTGCTACTTCTATGGGATTCTTGCCACACCAATCTCACACTTCACATGTGCACCAAAGCACATAAAAATGACAAACAAAATGTCAATTCTCAGCCTCCCAAATACAAGAGGGGCCTAGGCAGCCTTCAAGTCACAATATATAAAAGTACAAATTTGTAGTCTCCATCTGTTACCTGTGTGTACTAGGTATGCTAAATTTCTAAGGAAACAGATTTGCACATAAACTGCGCTATTTTGCACAGGCCTGGACTATGTTTATTTTGTTGTAATAACCTAACAGGTCATTTAACACCTCTACACTCACATTCTGGGAAAGGTGTGAAGCTGGTCAGCAGCTTCATATGTTTTTTGCTCAAGAAAAAGTTGAAAGTTTTGCATATCACAAAACCTGTGATCTTATATAATATATAAATACTTTTCATTCATTTGCCAGCATGTGTGTGTGCATATGTAATCCACTGATCAGGTAACAATTAATGAAAAACTCTAATATGTAAATAAATAAAATGCTATTATACATAAGGCAAGATTACTTGCATTATTTGCTTTTCTTTCACATTCATTTACAGTAAAACAGACCTATTCATTTAAAGCAAAATGGGCCAACAGGAGATTATGAGGCCCTCTTTCAAGTTGATTTCTGCTTTCTCTTGCATTTTTACAGTTGTTAAAAAAAAAGATTTAAAGTATTTTTAAAAGTTGAATGATGTTGAATGGCTAATCTGTAATTACTACATTTAAAGAGCAAAAAACACCGAGGCATAGACTCAACCTTATTGAATTTAAAGTGAATCAAAACGCTTATTACAATTAAATAAAGCAATAAGTGTTGTTCATTCTGCCCTATGATTAGTATGTATAAGGTTTAATTAATATGCAGTAAGACATTATTGTAAGGGTTTTTTTAACAACTACACATGTATTTTCTCCCAGAAACTCTACCTAAAATAAAAAAAATAAAAGCTTAAACAGCTTTCGACTAAAATGGACAGACTTCAGAGCTGTCACACAAGCTGAAATGTGTTATTTATTGAAGAGTTTCCTTCGCTAGCTCACAAAGGCTGATATCAACGTTAACTGTCTGCCTACAACCGAGCATCACCCCAACCAAAATGTGAAATCACTTATAGTCATGCCATTCGCTTCGTAACTACGATGTCTTCATCCCAGTTGTGTAACGAGTAAGTTAACGATAGGAGAAAATGAATGAGAGAGATCAAAGTTTAGGGCTAACTGCTACTGAAAATCTTTTAGGCATTTAATGCATAACGCCGAAACAAAAGCTTTAAATCTCACCTTTTCTCGCGGCAGATTTCCGTTTGATGAATCACTTCAGGAAGAGTTGATAGAGAGGAGAATATCTCGAATCCAACTGCCTTACCACGCCAGCAAAAAAACAAAAAAAAAATCTTATCCCCAGCTTGAGGAGTCAGCCGATGTCTGTGTGGAGTCGTGGCACTTTCTCGCGCTGGCATTACGCCGGTCAGTGGCCCACATTCCGTCCATTCAGGAGACAGCTGATTGGCTAGAGTAGAGTCAGTCAAACTGCTGTCAGCCAATAGGACTTTGCAATTCCAAAAGAAGGCTGGTCTTTAAGACTCTTCTGGGAGTTGTAGTCTTTTGCTCGGTTTTGAAACAATTATTAGAAAAGTCATAGATTTGACTACCAAACGATTTATTTTGACTTATCGTTTATCACTACACTGGTTGTTTATCAATAAATGTTATTTGTTTACATGATTTATATAATAAGGTATTGTTTAAAAGTTATCGAACACACACTGAAAAAGATATTTTCACTGCTTGTTCAAACTATGCATATATAATTAGCCAAATCTGCACAATTCTTGAGATTTTTGGGCATAACTTAATTGGTTTATGTTTAATCAACTTAAATTTGTAAAAACAACTGAGGTAACTTCGATTTGTGTTAAGACAGCATAAAGGAATTGTGTCTGATTTAAGCTAAAGTGACTCTTTACCTACAAATATTTATGTGGTTTTATTATAGTAAAAGTGTGGCAAGTAACCACAGCTTTCAGCAAAACGATTTACCATAAATACCACGTTTAAACTGTAGTCTAGTAAAAAATTGTATTGATTTGTGGTTGGTTGGTATGGTTCAACAGTAGTTTTTTAAAGAGTTTTAAGACTTTAAGGTTTGTAAATCCTAAACCATGTAAGATACTCCGACTAAAAGCTGTTTTACAATTAGTGTGTAAATCAAGGTGTGAATTATTTATTGCTAAAGTAGACATTCATTAAAAACATCTTAAAAGTCAATATTTATATTCTTTATCTTTATTTGCCTTAAGCTTATGGCATTACCCTCAGTTAGGATGCTGTTTACAGAACATAGACTACTTTTGCAAGGTTACTCCTTGGTGTGGCTGTGTTTTGTTAGGTGTGTGTGTGGTGTTACATTCATTTGCTTAGCAGTAGGTGTGGTTTCCATCTGCACATGTGGCATCGACATTTAGTAGAAAGTTTTAAATATTTATATATTATTAATATTTTATATTAAATTATTTTATAATGATTTTTATACTATAAATGAGGCTTCAAAACATCGAGCTTTTTAAAAGTCTAATACATGTCATATGCATTCCACATTAATTACTTTATTGTGTAAAGAATGAAAGTACATCAACAACTTGAATAAAAGGGCGTAAAAAAGTATAGAGTCAAGCAGATATACCTGAATTTGTTATGTCAGTTCACACCTTTTAACACGTGCTTTAAAATTAATAACCAGGTGAAATGTCCTGTCATTCCTTTAGTTTCATTGCAGTACAAACTTCAGCATAAGCCTAATATATTCTCAGATAGGTGGCAGCAATATGCATTGTGTTATCCATGCTTCATTTCCTTCTTTAAAATTGCATAATCACATGTTGCACAAGCTACAAGATAAAAGCATGATTAAAAATAAAACATAAATATCAACAAACACCTTTTAATATATTTAAATGTTCGTATAGCTGCAGGAATGACAAGAAGAAAACACTGCCAACAAATATATAATTGCTTGGATTAAGATTTACAACTGCTTCCATATGCATGGAAATAACTGGCATGACTGTAGTTTTACTGCTGACTCACATTTATCGGTCAGCCATTCGAGGTCAAGTCAACGTGGTCTATTTGCATAGTGAGTGAGAAAGTCAAAGCTGCGGTAGCACATGGTCTACAAATGTAATTGTCAAAGGAGTATTTTACCTTTTTTAATTTAAATCTTACTGAATATTGCCTAACCCTAATAGATGAACTCATGCATATGAAAATAAAATAAATATTAAATGTTACAATTGTTTCATATTTAGTAATGTTTTTAAATATTATAAATGTATTATTCACAAAACACAGTGAGAAAACAGCTCATAATTTTTTGCATTGTTTGACCTTTGCATTGTTGTATAGAGCACAGATGGAACATTATATAAGCTATAAATGACTGTATGCTAGAGTCTCAGCTGTTACTGCAGTCTTTGATGTCAGTTCAGAGTAAACAGAACTGCTGCGCTTACTTTGTCAAAAGAAGAAGAGGATAAACTGATCTGCTTATTGAAGTTATATAAAAAAAACTCTATGCTATATTTTTATTTTATTAACTTTATTTTTTTATCAATTATTTATTTTATTAAATGTTTATACTTAATTTTTATTGTTCGTTTGTGTCTATATAAAGAGAGAGTTCCCCCAAAAATTGTATTCACTATTTACAAGTGGATCCAAACCTTTGTGATATTTCTTTTCTGTTAAACGGAAAAGAAGATATTTTGAAGAATGTTAGAAACCAGTAATGGTTAGCCATTTTAACCATATTTTTCAAAATAACTGATCACGTGTTCAACAGAATAAAGAAACTCTCAGAGGTTTGAATAAATGATGACAGAATTCGTTTTGGGTGAACTGTCTCTTTAAGACCACTGCTTATGGAGTTTATTGAAGCGATACTGAGAGTACACTCATGCTAAACCACCACTCTGGTCTCAATAGACTGAGCATAGAGGACCAGAGCAGATGCCCTCCACTGACTTTAGAAAACACTGTGCAATACTTCACATAACTGAGTATAAATGTGATTCTAGTGGTAATTCTCATAATGAATTTAGCCCTTTTTGTATACTAATTATCTGTGTAGTCCTGCCCATCTTCAAATTTCATTGGTTCGAAAAACACTGTTCAAAAAATATTTAAAGGGATAATTCATAAAAAATAAAAATTTGCTGTTAATTTGCTCACCCATGAGAAGGTGTAGGGGATATTTTTTTTCGGCAGAACATTCAATCATTCATTTTCCTTTGGCTTAGCCTCTATTTTAGAGGTTTCTACAGCGGAATGAACCGCCAACTATTTCAGCATATGTTTTACACATGTGGATACCATTCCAGATGCAACCCAGTACTGGGCAACCCATACAAACTTATTCATACACAGGGAGAACATGCAAACTCGACAAAGAAATGTCATCCAGCTGGGACTCAAACCAGCAACCTTCTTGCTATGAGACGACAGTGCTAACCACTGAACGTTCATTTTCTTTTTGGCTTAGTACCTTTATTAATCTGGGGTCAACACAGCGGAATGAACCGGCAACTTATCCAGCATATGTTTTACGCAGTGAAACCCTACCAGCTGCAACCCATCACTGGAAAACATTCACATACATACACTACGGACAATTTAGCTTACCCAATTCACCTATACCACGTTTTTGGACTTGTGGGGGATACTGAAGCATCCACCTGGATGATACCCACCCAAACATGGGGAGAACAAGTCTCAGCCAATTTAATAATCCACCATAACTGAGCCTGAACAGGGTCAGATTTGTTGGTGTGTCACGGCTGCAATGAAATAGATAAACCCATGAATCAGTGCACTTTAGGCATGATATGGGCATGCTTTTTCTCTAAGTCACCCAAGTGATAGAATTTGTTTTTATAAACATGTATTTTAAATGTGGGTCAAGATAGGCCAAACTTACATATCAATTATTAACATCTGGGCCAAATACTACATTTTACATCTGGCACAAGTATTGTGCCAAACCAGGGCCATGTTTGTCCCACATGCTGTATGTCAGTGTCGGATGAATGCCTGCTGTGCCAGATTTATGCTATTGGTATAATTGGGTGAACTGTCCAAAAAATCTCAACATTTTCATATTGTCTTACTGTCAACTTCACTGTTCTGTTCATTTCAAGATCTAGTTTCTTCCACACCACATGAATATAAATGTTAAACTATAAATCAACTCAAATAATTTTTAATTTATAAGTTAACTGCCAAAATAACCCTGTTGCTATATCCATAAATTTTACCTGAGGCTAAAATACACTTGAATATTTACAGTGCTTTTTTCAATGCTTTACCAAACATCAGTGAGGTGGGGGGACCCGTTCTACCCTTGTGTCTCCTGTTTTGCAGGTAAAGTTATTTGACACAGGACAAGACACTCTGACCCAGAATTCTGACATGTGATTGGGCAATCCAGAGACAATATTGAAACTCTGTAGGAAAGTAGGTCCGTAAAATGATTTTTAGATTGTGGTTGAAAAGAAACTAGGACAGAAGTATATAAAGATTTAATGGCATTGTAAGACCATAATGAAAGTCTTGTATGACTGCAAAGAGGGTGGAATTGTATTGGATGACCCATTTAACGTCTTATATTTCTGCCTCAGCTGCTCAACGTTGTATTGTGTATGTAAGGGAGAATATATATGCAGCCTAAATACAGTATGCACCTCCTTTCAGGGCCCCAATCATACTCTTGAGAACTATTTTGAAAACAGACTCACAATACGACACTGTTTATATGTCTACTAACAAGATAAATTAATATATAGAAATAGATTTTCTATTGAAATCATATTATAACATGTTGACAGCTGTCTGACACAAAAAAGTGAAACTGCAACACAAGTTACCAGTCAAGGGTCATTATACTAAAATATTTAAACACTAAATGTGATTATTGATCTTAACCAAGTACTCCAAACTGGCTTTTAGCTTAATTATCTGTACATTGTATCCATTCAGGTATGGATGTAAACACTTTGTGTTTGGTTAGCAAAGCCAGTCTGACAGTTTAAAATTTGAACATTAATTAAAAATATGCTCAGACCAGCTGAAACTTAAAACTTGACCAGTCACCAGCCTGGTTTAAGCTGGAGTTGACATTTTGGCTGGGCTCCTACGCTGGTCAAGCTGGTTTTAGCTGGTCATCTTCCAGCTTGACCAGCTAAGACCAGACTGGAAATGGCCAAAACCCCTCTACAACCAGGCTGGTCCACCAGCTAAAACCAGCCAACCATCATAGGCTGGTTAAAGCAGTTTTTTTCCAGTAGGGATGGCTAACAAATTTCTATTCTAGCATGTTCAACATTGTGCTAACACATGAATTAGCATGTTGATATATTTTAACTCATGCCCAATATTTAATCATGTTTCATATCACGTACCTGTTTAGCATGTTGCTGTGGGTTTCTATAGAAGCTAATTTTAAAAGGCTGGTTTACAAAAATCACAACTCTGCTTTGCTTTAAACGTCATTGAACAATTGAAAGGTCTAGAAGATTCAAGTGGGATACACAGTTTAAAAGTTTGTCACAGAAGAAGATGACAGCTTAAACAGGAATTTAGTAGGCTACATGGCTTTGTCAAGCCAGCATAATTATGCTATAAACACAATAGAAATGGTGGATTGTAAAATGTGGTCACTGGACTGCCTGCAGATATACAGTAGATGAGGAACTTTACACTTATGTACAATTCAAATGCAAAACCACAACATTTCCACCTCAACTGCTGACCGACATGAACCATATCTATTGTGTGGTTTGGAAGAGCTGACCCACATCCTGGCTGCAATGACAACATTTAACTAACCTGTATGAGAATCCAGCTTTGCTCGTCATAGATTTAACACATAAAGCTTACTAATATTATTATTTTGTCAGAACATGATATTTCACATTTATGGATGGGACCGTCATGATGAGTCACAGGATGTCCAATACATCACTTTACCGCTATGATGAGCTTAATGGATAAAACAGACCTGCTGTTACAAAACTCAAGAAGTCAAGATGTCAAAATTACTGAGGACAATCTCTTCTTTATAATCAAACTCACCAACTGCCATTTACCAATGCCACAGCAACATGTGGTAGAAAATTGTTTCCTCGTGAGACAAATAGGCAACCTTCATTTACGGACAAACATTTAATTATTATTATTATGTCTGTGGGAAAATTTAATCAGCAACAAACAGGGCCGAGAGGTCCAAGTTCGAAGCCTGACGGAAATATAATCAAATAACAGAGAAGTAACCTCTTCCTCTTCTCATCGTCAACAAAATAAAAAAAGGAAAAAAATGCAATGAGCTCTACAAGTCCAAACGTGGAAAGCAAGTCCTGTTTAAATACAAGGAAGAAGGAAGACACTGGGGAAAATCATCAATCAATATGCTTTTAGCTAAAGGCAATGAGGAAGTCAGCGCAGTTGATGTGTCTGTTCATCCCTATAAATGATTTCAATCTCTGTGTGGGAATCTATAAAATATCATAAACCATGATGTATAAGCAAGGAACTACTGCATCTTTTTAGCTGCAAGTGTCTCTAAAACTATCTCAGCTATGATGTACGATATTTACAATTTCTGGCAAGAAGCAACTAAACTGGCATGTCATCGACATACATGAGCACTGCCACCTTCTGGAGAGAACATGCTCAAATCTCAAAGAATGAATGAGATTATATGAGAGTGTCTGTAACCATTCAAACTGCATTTCAGGCCAAACACTCCACTTATTACAAAAAGCAGACAGTAAATGAGCCACAAAATGGGAAAACAGGGAATATTTATTTTCATTTATTGCAAGCTTTCATAAAAATAAGGGTAATCCATACGAAAATGACGTCCCATCTTTTCAGTCATTTATAAAATTTATCTTCGCTGAGTTGCACGTGATTGCAATAGTGCTTTACAAAACATAATCTCCATAATCAGAACAGCAGTTACATATTTTTGTGGCACTCCACAAAACCAAACTTAACACATATTTTGGTCCACTGAACTTAAATGTAGCAAGTCTTAGAGTTTTAGTAACAACATTTAGCGGAGTAAAAAATACATTTGAATAAGGAACGCTGATTTATATCCAATAGAAAAGGTGTCGAAAGTATCAAATTGAACTTGAGTTTTCAGAAAAGGATGAGTTCTGTGGAAACGTAGCTTAATTGAGGAAAACAGTTTCTTGCATACACATAAATGGAAGCACCATCTTATTCATTACTGTGTAAACCATAAACAATATGATGAACTATTACTACTGATACTCACTTATTTACCTCATTTCACACACAACAACTGGGGACATCAGTCAGTCCTTTTCATTTAAAGTAAAAGGAAGTGTAATTTGGCAAAAAATGTGATCGTAAATTAACGTCAGCATTCTCTTGAAACGTACATTTGTGTGCAGCAATCTGTAATGCAGAGTAATGCATTCGGACGAATCTCAAATCAACAAAAAAATATTAGGAGGAAAGATATCTGAAGCATTACATTTCACATAACACTTCTGATATACTGCTCTGTTTCTCATCACAGGTCAAGTTTTGTTTAATAGTTTATGATTAGTACGCATCAGCTTTCCAGTGTGCCAGAAAAAAGGCAGATTAATCACATTTAAAGGTACAAAACTGCAGTCAAAACAGCAGAAAAATCACTGAAATGATCCACTTGTTGTCATAGTGGTACTTTATGTGTCTGCATAATCTCAGATAGAATATATCAGCTAATATTTGCATAACTTGGAATATGTAAAAAACGGCGGCTAATGCAGGGATTTAACAACTCATAAGTGAACATATTAGAGAGCTTTCAGGTTGTAATCACTGCATTAATTTCATGAGATGGTACTGGCAGTGAAAAAGAACATAAGCAGGAAAAAACGAGGCAAAGTGTAAACACTGCAGTTGCTCTTTTTCATGTTTTAAAGTGGTTAGTGAACCACGTTAGGGATAACTGAAGTAGGTGCATTTAGGTTTCACTCTAATGGGCAGGTAACAATGCTAGGAGCTCACGATGGTGCAGCGACGTCATCATCGTGTGGGTCAGTTGCTTTTCAGCAGCTCAATGCTGCCCTGCAGAGTGGACATGCTGTTCTGTAGTGAGAGAACAGAAGAGACACAAAATCTTGATTTTCTAAGTTGACCACGATTACTACAAAATAATTAATTTTTAAAGTAATTTTGAAAAAACTTAAATCATGTTTTCGACTTATTTTAATATACATTTCACTTTCGTTGGAATGTAAATATGTTAAACTGTCATAAATGTATTTTATTATTAATAGTACACTATTATTATTATTAATTTTTGCATAGGTGTACATTTGAAGTCAGAATTATTAGCCCCCCTTTTCTTTTCTTTTTTTTATTATATTTCCCAAATGATGTTGAACAGAGCAAGGAAATTTTCACAGTATGTCTGATAATATTTTTTCTTCCGGAGAAAGTCTTTTATTGTTTTATTTTGACTAGAATAAAAGCAGTTTTAAATTAAAAAAAAAAAAAAAACATTTTAGGGACAAAATTATTAGCCTCTTTTAGATATATATTTTTTCAATAGTCACAGAACAAACCATCGTTATACAATAACTTGCCTAATTACCCTAACCTGCCTAGTTAACCTAATTACCCTTGTTAAGCCTTTAAATGTCACTTTAATGTGTATAGAAGCGTCTAGAAATATCTAACAAAATATTAATTACTGTCATCAAGGCAAAGATAAAATAAATCAGTTATTAGAAATTAGTAAATTAGAAAACTATTATGTTTAAGAAATGTGTTGAAAAAAATCTCTCCGTTAAACAGAAATTGGGGAAAAAATAAATGGGGATAATACTTCAGGGGGGCTATTCATTCTGACTTCAACTGTATATATTTGTATAGCTCTGTTGGGATAGGATGGGTGTTCTTTGATTGGTGTTTGGTTGCTAATACAGTATATATGTATTGTTTCTTAATATTTTGAAAATTTTTGTTGAAATATTTTATGATCAGTAAAATGTTAAAAGTTTTTTTTAATGATGTCTCTAACACAAAGCAAGGCTGCAATTATTTGATTAAACATTTAGCATATTTTGTGTATATTAATATTTAAAATGACGTTTCTATTTGCAAATATTTTAAAATATGTCATTTATTCCTGTACAAAAGCAGAAATTTAGTATCATTACTCCAGTTTTTTTGTCAGATGGTCCTTTGGGAACCATTCTTAGGAATTGATTTTGTGCTCCAGAACAATTTCTTATGATAACTCTTGAAAATAACTCTGCGAATCAATACTTTAAAACTATGATAGATTTTTTTTCTTTGACATATAGAATGTTGTGCTTTTAATCAGCAATGATGAGTTTAATACAGCATTGCTGAAAAAAGCATTTGTGACCAATAACTTTTGTTTAACACGCATATATTTAAATATTGAGAATCAAACTAGGGACATATCAGGAAATCACCCAAATTTTAACTTCTCTAATAATACCAGATTTTTCCATGGAGACTTGATACATGTGACAAATCATCATCCTCACCTTGGCATGTTTTATTTCCAGCTCAGTCATCTCGATCAGGTTCTTACGAAAGGCTACTACACGTCTTGCCTTGAAGCTGGTGAGCTCTACAAAAATAATAAATGAGAGCAAGTTACTTACGGAAAAAAGTTAGGATTTTTTATACTGTGCTTAACCCTGGGTTAACAAAATTATAAATAACCAGATAGATAATTGTTTCTCACTTGTAATTTAGAAGAAAGGTTAGACCTGGGGTTATTATTGCATCATCTTTGCAATGTTAAAGCAGATTGCGGTGTGAACCATGCAGTGTTATAATGTTACAGCCCAATTGTGCTCATATTCACATGTTTCATACAATAAAGAGAAACACCACAGGTCTTAAACACTTTTGAGGGGGGCAATTGGGTGGTTACATTTATAATCTGCAAAGATAGTAAATGTAAAATATTCTAATGCACAATAATAAAGTACTCAATTATATGTGTCTTTGTCCTAGCCATAATACTAGCATTATATATTGGAGTATAAGGACATACAAGGAAAGTTTAGAAACGAAAGTGTGAAACTGAATATTAAACAATAACCACAGGTAATATACAAGAAATTTGAAAAATGAACCCTGATGACAGAATCTCCTTTAGTTTAAAATAACACACAGTTATCTGAAAAGCTATAAAAAAAAACATGTATTTTTTGTATTGTAGTATTTTTTGTATTTATTGTATTAGCTCTCCAACAGTCTCATTTAACAGTTCTCTGCAATGAATCACTTTGCTAAGCACAACAGTGATGGTTTATAAACTACCCCTTGGAGAATTCATACCTACAATCTTTTGGCTTCCAGCCCTGTCTACATTAACTCTTCATATACTATTAACTTCAACCCTCACAGAAATTCATCAAGGTTATTTGACAGTCAAATAAAATAATAAAGATTTTAAATGCACAACACACCTTTCTTGCCAGATTCTGAAAGCCTATCAAACTTCTGAAGACACTGCTTCTGGTTCTCCTCAGCCTGTGGGACATCTTTTCCTTTTAGACGTGCCTTGTCGAGAGCTTTATTGGAATTCTCGTAATCTGCAAGTGCCCGTGCACGTCTATACAACAGGTCCTGGGGAATGGAATGCATAATTGCTCAACATATAATCAGGTTAAATCAAAGTGTTGTTAGTGAACAATGACCCAAGGTGGCCAGCCAAAGGCAAATACTCTTTATGCAGTGACAGATAGGCTACTGTATAAAATAATTGGATTAAAAATAGATTCTGTTGCTGTAGGGACCAATAATGTGCACTTTAAGAACTTAAAGGCATTAAAGGCACAGTTTACCCAAAAATCAATCAGCCCACCCTCCAATTATTTCCAATCTTTCTTTCTTCTGTTGAACACAAAAGTATATTTTGAATAATTTTGGAAACTAATAGCCAACATTCCTCAAAATATCTCATTTGTTCAGCAATTATTTAAAAGATTTGGAAGAGTAAACGATTTATTTTGAGTGAACTATCTGTTTATAAGCATGCTTGTCTGATGGACTGACATAAAAAATAGATGGCTAGTAAAACTGGGAGGCTCTCTGCAAATGTCTGGTATGCAAAAAAATCCCACAATGAACTCTTTCTGGAAAAAAACACTGTAAAACGTAATATCTAATGCACTTAGTTGACTTATACAATCTAATGCATGTTACATTATCACATTACATGGCCTCTGTACAAAAACAAAGAGTGAAATATTTACCTTAGCAGCTTGGATGTCTCTTGTGTAGTATCTCAACAATTCTGTCAGCTTGAGCTCCTGATCTGATGCCACCCTGTCCTCGACTTTCTGCAAAACACACACATACCTCATCATCACATTTCTTAAGACCTTATGAAGATGGTGACAGTTGGTTTGTATGTAACTCCTACATAGATACTCACTCTAAGCTTTTCAAATACTTCAACACATTTTTCCAAGTGCCTGGAAAAGAGAAAGAAAATGAAAAATTAGGCAGTAAAAGAGCAAATTCTTACATCTTCAAATTTAAACTGTCACAATCCACAAAAACATTTGAAGATATTTCAAAAGACTTCTCAATATACTTTTAAAATTCCCCAAAATACTGTCATTTCTAACTGAAAATAATACAATTTGATGAAGAAAGTTAAAAAAGTAACTATAAAATATATTTAAACTGAACCTCGATCACACAAAGCTGTTTTGTTTTCTGTATAATTCAACATTTTTGCTTCACTTAAATGCTGTTTTCACTGTAAAATATATGAAATATAATACATTTCTCACTTTTTAAAGGCAGAGTTGTTGTCAGCTGCAACACTGTTCAGAGCCCCGGAAATGTGGTTATAATCATCAGCAACATCTTAGAAAAGAAAAAGAAAATAAAAGTCAGTATTAACCAATAAATGATAAGCATCCAGCCGATTGCTTCATGGTCTCACTTTTGTGTGAACGGGTCATTTTCTCAGCCTTAGCTGTGGAATCTTTGATTTTATTAGAGTAATCCAGCAGAAAAGTCTTCTCCTGTTCAAAGAACTCATCAACCTCCTGCAAAATAAAGTTTAAACTTGTGTTTTATGACATGAGATGATTTTAAAAACACCCCAAAGAGAGCTGCATGATGCACTAACCTTGACCCCTGAGATGAGGACCTCATCAGCGGTCTTCACCATGTTCTTAAAGAAACCACCAAACATTTCCTTGGCATTTTTCCGCCTCACGCTGAGCTAAAGCCCAAATGAGAAGAGGATTACAGAGTCACGCACAATATGAACCAATCAGAATGCAGAAGTATAGTGTGTGCTCTTTATCACCACTGGCTCAGATCCAAAAAGGTCACTTGTCTTTGTTATCAGCATAACAGACACTTATCTGAATAATACAAGACTTACAGATTAAGGCTTAGTTTTAAAGTTTTTTTAAGCAATAGTCCAGTCATGAATCTTTTTTTTTTTACGCTGAACTAAGCAGGAAGTGGTTCTCTGAGTAAAATATGCCCTCCCTCTTTATCTTCTGCAGTCATCCTCCAACCTCTCTCCATTTGTATTTAAACTGCCAACATTGCAGCTTCGCAGGAAATAAGCAATGCCAACAGTCCCTCTCACTGTCTCTCTGTTTCCTGGTCTGAGAAGAATAGGCCTGGCTTGGACAAAGCAGAATACTCACATCCTGGTCATATTCCAGGAATATGTGGAAGTTTCTATCCTTGCTGAAGCTGGGATGGGAGGAAAGTCGCTGAAGAAACACTTCATGAACCTGCACAGTCTTCTTAAAAACAGCAAGATATTCCCTAAAATAACACACAGGCTTTATTAAACACATTTAAATGCTATTAATGTGCAAAAATAACTATTTTTTTATTAATTTGTTTATTACAGAGTTAGACTCACGCCTCAAGTTCCTGCTTCATTTTGGCATATTCCTCCTTTGTCATGCTTGACTCCCCTTCTCCCAGCTTATGCATCTTCTCTCGGGGACCCTCAAAGTCAGGTTTTGGTGGGGCAGGAGGGATCTGAGAAATATTGGAAGAGAGAAAAGAGGAAAGCACTGAAAATGCAAAACCATTCAATTCAATATAAGACTACTTGGCTATTCCAATTCTCTACAATGCAGGCTGAGGATCAGCAGAGACACTTGGTGGTTTGATCATTGGCAGACACTTGCATTGTGTTCCTGATGATGAGCTTTTATAAATCTAGACAATAGGAATATGGTTTTTAAGCTTACAATGAGGCCAGCATATTCCTCAGTCTCCACAATTGCATCATGGAGCCAGATGAAATCTTCATGCTGTCGTGGCACAGAAAAGTCCGGCTTCTGAAAGGAACTAAGTGTGGTCTGAGGGGAAGTGAAGAGCAAATAGAGAATATGACTCAAGGACATAATGCCTGTCAAAAACTAGTCATTAGATATACAAGTGATGAGTTTAGGCATGGGCCGGTATAAAGTTTCTGTATGATAACCTTGGATAAAAATATGATGGTTTCACAGTATTGTGATTACTGCTCTTTTTAAGAGGTTTTTTGTCTGAGTAAAAAAAAATAACAATCATTTTCCCCTTTGAACACAATATATTTAATTTTGAGAAACATTTATAATATTTTGGAGCAGTAAACATGTCAGACTTAATAATTTAAATGAGTCATTAACTTCTGCTGTACTCATTAGTTTCTAAAACACAGATTTCATTACAATTTAAAACAGCATCTTTGGGGATCTTTTTTTTTGCTGGAGATGCTGTTGTCCTAAAAAAAGTAAATAAAAAATCCTACACATACTATAGAAATAGTATAGCAGAAAATTTTAGGGGATTTAAAACATTGACTTTTCCAAACTATGGTATACTTTGAGAACGGTTATCATCCCATGCCTAGATGAGTTATTTGAATATCATTAAATATGAGGTTGAGGTTGGCTCACCTTGGTGTGGACGGTAAATTTGACTTTGTCCCTTTCACAGAGGGCATCAGGAATATCAATGAGGAGAGATGCATCATTGTTCAAGTCAACAGATACAGAACGTGCCTATACCAACAAAGAAATTGACAAAAACACAAGAAATTTTTATTGTTGTTGACAAATCATAAAAAACACAATAGTTATTAGTCTGCAAAGTTGGCTTTTGAGAAAAATAATAGTGAAAACATTTAAAATAAATAGTTTCAAAATGAGCCTTTCCATAACCCATACATAATTAAACTTACAAAAATGATTTTAGATACAATAGAATGCATTTTGGTCTACTTTAATGTTTTAAATCACATATGTGAAAATAAATGTCACACAAAGAAGAATGTTACATTGCCATCTGTAAGAAATGGGTTAATTTTTTTTTTCCAGTTGCGCTCAACGAACAACCAAATGAACAGAGAAAGGTCCCATGAGTTTAAGGTTAACTTCACACCTTTCTCCAAATTTTAGGAAGTAAAATAATGACCCTCAAGTATGACCAAATGAGTAGAGAAAGGTCTCATGACCTTAAGGTTAACTTTCTTCAGTTTTCAGGAGTTAGAATATTGACTCTAGATAATCATGCTGACACTCCAAACCTCAAATGTGTGCTTTGCAATCAGAATGTGCACCTTTCAAAGAAAGGGGTCTGATCCGCTCACTCTACTTTCTGCTAATAGGCCGACCTTTGGCCAGCACCCAAATTTTGACTATAAAGGTGAGAGTTTCTTGCTGAAACACCGGAAGCTCAGCCGTATTATAAATGCACATCGCCAGGCATTCTCAGACACACTTGTTAGTTTACCAATGTGACTGAAACAGACTCCCCCCAGTCTTTGAAGAGGAAAATGATGGCACCTCTCTGAGGTTGTATAGAATTTTATCAAATTGCTTGGGGTTACATTATCTGTCTTTTATTCATGTAATCCTTTTTACTCATCTTTATTTCGCATTATAAGCCTTTTAAGCAATTTTGTTGTATTTCGGTTACTGATGGCCATGAGTATGATTCATGATTATTCAATATTATTGTGATAATTGATATCAGCTGCGTGTACCAGCAATAAACACTTCAGTCTCCACTTCGCTTCCTAATCTGCAACTGCCTCTCTGGATATACCACTAACTGTACTCAAAAAAATAAAATAAAAAAAAATTACTAATGCTTTCCTTCTTAGACTTTACAGACCTGAAACTTGCCTATAGCACTTATTCATTGTTGCTCTTATAGTTGTGTAAATTGCTTCCTTGTCCTCATTTGTAAGTCGCTTTGGATAAAAGCGTCTGCTTAATGACTAAATGTAAATGTAAACAGTAGTATTGGATGGTGTATGGACTGTTATTGGTGCGTTCTCTTGTCGAGTAGCATCACACTTGTCTTACTTGCATAAACATAAACCAGAGTAAAACCTTTTTGGTATGCTGAAACATTTTACATCCTAAAATTTGGGGCATACAAAAACAACATCCAGTGTAACAGATTACCATGACCTGTACTTTCTAAATATTTAAAAACTCTAGGTAATCACATTTTATTGTGTTTTAAGTAGCTAAATCACTTTCAATAACTAAACATTTTCAAAGATAGTCAAATCATAAAGGTTTAAATTACAACTAATTAGCATTTTGAAGCTGCACTGTAATGCTTAAGTCTTAATAAGCAATCGTTTCAAGATTTTAAATATAACTGAAAATAAGTTTTGAAATATAAACTTTTGTTTATACTGAACGACATTTTACTGGGTATCTTCTTTATTTTCTGGTGAAAATGCAAGATTTTGTTTTTGCAGTATATATTTACATTACTCTGCTGTCTATGCTATGCAAATTGAGCCCATGGATCATAATCTGATACCAAATCTGTCATCTGGAGGAACTTCCCCAAATCATTGTAACAAAAAAAAAAAAAAGAGTCTTTGTCAAATACACCGTTCTACCAAATAAACTTGAATTATTGACTAATTAAATGCAAATACTAACGTAGTAGTTACCAAAATCACTCCAACATGTTTACAATGAGTTCTTGATAGAGTTTAAGCCAGGAAGAGCGAAAAGCACATGATTATTAGCTAAGGTTACTCACTAAAAGTGCAAAGCGGAGCTGGGCGGTTATTAGGCAGCCTAGCAAGTGTTTCAAAATTCTACGTTTTATCCCTGTAATTGAAAGATATGACAACACTCACCTTCTCCTTATCGCTGTCCTCTGAAATAGACGTCATGTTCAGGAGATATTTCGCTTATTTTATCGGCTCTGGGTTGTACATTAAACTGCACTTTTAACTTTCCAGCAGCAAGCTCGTTCCTCACTTTCCTCCCTCTCGCCTGTCACTGTGGACATCCGGCTCGAATATTTTTTTTCTGCCATCATGTCAAAATAAAAGTCTTGTAACAAATGTCGCTTTCACGTTTTACTCTTTTAATCAATTAATCGCTAAAAGATTTACTAAAACATACCACACACCCAGTTTACAAAACTGTAAAATATTTAATGAAACGTTGCTTGTAAGAATTTTGATGTAAATGGGTCACAGGTTTTCCATAGATATTGATTGTTTTCACCGCCAGATAGCAGTAACCGTTTGAAAGACATCGATAAAGTTCAATATAGTTGGTTTACGGCTTTGTTGCTTTAGATAGTCAATAAACAGATATACAATAGTTATATAGTAAACGTGTACTTTGTGTAAAAGTAAAATAAACTGTGCGGCTTATATCAAATTTTGCAATGTGGGAAATGTAGTTTTTGTAAAAGAATTCAACGTTGTTTTGATGAAATTTGAACTACAGTTCCCATAATTCCCCAGTATATCCAGTTCAATCTGCGCTACGTTTGAATGTGGCATGTAGCAACATCATGCCTGCTGATCCGCACTATAACTTTTTGGTTTGTTTATTTTAATTTACATGTCCATTATTTTATTTTTCAAAGCATGCGAAACCATATTTAAACATCATAACAGTCACAGCACGTGAACACAAAGAACTGTTAATACGATGCAGGTAACGTTATTGAGGCAGTTGGCACAATACAAGTGTGTGAGATCAATAGGTTTCACCCCTGGTCGGTTCTCGAGGGTGGACAACTTTTCAACAAGCTGTCAATGGCGAGCACGCAAAAAGGTCAGTCAGTACAGCACAGTGGACACGGAGCGCTACTCATCCCTGGTTCGTGCGGTGTTGACAAAAACCAGCTCACAGACTCCTGAAAGCATCGAGGATGAAGACTCTAAGCTGTTTGGACCAATAATAAGATCCAAACCTCATTCTCAGCAGCCCAGAGAACCTAAAATCCTGCATCCACTATTAAATGAGGCCAAAGGTCTGTCAGAGTATGTCCCAGGACCTTTGGCTCATATACCATTAGAGAGGGACTCTAATAAGACACTTATACCCAGTGTCACCCGCATCCTCCAGCAGACGATGCCACCTGAACAGGCCTTTTACCTGGAGAGGTGGAGGAGAAGGATGATTGCTGAACTTGGAGAGGAAGGCTTTAAAGAATACAGCTTGAGTAAGGACTACTGTTTACTTTGATTAGACTACATTTTAAACAAATCAGACCTCCTCATTTAACCGTGTATTTTCTTTTAGACATTTTCAGACAAGGAAAGCTGTTTCATGCTGCTATTGAGAACACTTTCACTCAGGAAACTGTCTCTAAGGAGGACACTGAGTGTCCAGCAGAGGTGTCCGGATATATGGAGAGTGTTTCTCATGTGTTGACTGATATATCAGGAGTGAGAGCTATTGAAAGTGCTGTACATCATTCAGCATTACAGTATCTGGGCATTGTAGATTGTGTTGCCCAATACAGGTGAGATTCTTCTGTTATGCTTTTTTAAATTGACCATTTTCATAAGGTGTATTATTAAATCAAGTGCATAGTTTGCTCTTGACATTAGTGCAGACCTATGAACCCACTCTTAAAATAATTCATTAAGGTAAATTAAGGAATAGTATAATGTTTAAGGAATGTTTAATAAGTTACAAAGAGTTAATAAAGACTTGCGTTTCTTTTATATATGTCTCATACATCAGTATTAATAAAAGGTAGATCGAGCACAGATTGCAGTTTTACTGACAAATAGGTTCAACCGAAATTTGATATGCTGGCTAACTCTGAGAGATTAGAAGAACTGACAGGAATCATATTATTTATACTTTGACATTTAGCAGTTTATTGTGCAGTTGGTTTTCAGACTATATTACTTACAGACTATATCAGCCTGCTATAAAGTTAGCTTGTGCGTCAAAGCGGTGGGAAAAACACTAGCATTAATGTTACCATTATTTTGATGGACAGTATTATTCGGTAGTGAACTTGAGTTTATGTGACTTGCACCTTTTTTTTTTTTTGCTGCCATAATCCTCACTTGCGTGTCACTCCCCTTACACACCCCTTATTCTTGCACAGTAAAATTCCCCCTGTGCTATTTTTGAGCTGTTACATCTGAATACAGCTACAGCCTCTCACATGACAGCAGAGAAAGGCTCAGCCATGTTCATATGTGTTTTGGGGGCGGTAGGACTCAAGTAGATGATGTGATTTACATGTCCAGGTTAATGGTTGAATTTAATTATTGGTGGGGACACGTCCCCTTCGTCCATGCTACGCCCCTGTATTAAACTGATTTATTGTCTCCCAACACAAGCAACTTCTACATTAATATTCAAACACTGTAGTTGAAGCAGAGACATGAAAGAATTTGGTTAATGTTTTCTGTGAACGCTTGTTTTCTACATTTATAAAGCATAAAGACTTGTCCTCGAACATCTACTCCATCTCAAGACTGTAAAACATTGTTTAAAAGCCTCTGGAGCTTTGGATTTGGTAATAGACAACTGGTTTTGACATTTGACAGATGACATTTGGTCATCTGACCAATCAGAGATGGATAAGCCATCAGAAAGGGGGCGTTTAGAAAGTGCCGATCCATAACAAAAGACGTTTCAGACATTGGGAAAAGGTGATACTGCAGTGTATATTATGCAAAAATCCAAGTAATTTTTGAAAAGAATAAATCTATGGACCCTTTTCACATTTCCGGGTATCTCAGTAGTGGAAGTCATCATAGTTGGGTAAACTTAGAGCGCAGTGAATAGAAGAGTACAACAAATAATATTTTTACAATTCTATTTGCTGAAATAATGAAATAAAAATTTCACAATAGTGTCTTCAAGACTTTCAGAAAAAGTGTGAGATTAATAACAGGAGAGAGTGGGAGAGAACACATCAAATTTACTGTCCTGTCCCACAGACACTGCATTACAAACGCCTCGCACCAGCTGTGATTTTTTTTTTTTGTAATTTGATGCAAAGATGATTTAGTACATAAATTCATATAAATGGTCATACATTTTTCCAAAATCAAAATAATAAAAACTTTCAAGGATTTAACATGCTGATGACCATTTAACACAAAAGTCTTATGAAAAGAGTCCATTGTAGAAGACCTTAAATAATTAGCAACTTTTCAAATAGCATAGCAGGGGCATTTCAGTGGATTTTCATTTTTTGCATATTTTGACATTTAATAATAATTTCTTTGCTATATCGGTCACATTGAAATTTACCCTAAAACAAAAGCTTATGTGCTTTCAAACAGAGGTTCATTGTGTGTCATTGACTGGAAGACCTCAGAGAAGCCGAAGCCTCTACTTCACAATACTTATGACAATCCATTACAAGTAGCTGCATACACTGGTGCCTTGAACAGTGACAACAACTACAGCTACCAGGTAAGCATTACTTTTACTCTGGTTATCATTAAAACCAAAAAATACTTTTGCATAGAGTGGTGTCAGAAACGCGATTTAAAGAAATTAGTCAAAATAATCTTAGATTGTGTAGAATTAAAGGGTTATATTGCATTTTGCAATACAATAAAATATGAAAAATGTTCATGTTAATACCCAGTGTAAACGTGTTGTTTGACTATATGTGTGATTCATCTTATTTCTTGATATAAACAGCATGTTTATTCTTTCAGTTGTACTGTTCAAGTTATCCTATTAAACTATATATATCATGTTGTTTCTGTGCAGGTAGATAATGGCTTAATTGTGGTAGCCTACAAAGACGGTTCACCTGCACATGCTCACTTTCTGAACTCCAAGCAAATTAAGCAATTCTGGGAGAAATGGCTTCTTCGACTAGAAGAGTTTGCAGAAAAATAAAACCCCTTTGACTAGCATAACAATTCTAGATAATGCTACACAATGTGTAGTTCAACTGTAAATGTTTTTCATTTGATACAAAGAATAAACATTTGTGTTTTACACATTTTATTCTTAAATTACTTTTGTTGTTGACAGCGGCCTTTTTAAAAGTTTCACATCGGAAAGCATTCACATAACCATATAGCGCAGTGGTTCTCAAACTGTGGTACGTGTACCACTAGTGGTACGCAGGCTTCCTTCTAGTGGTACGCAGAGAAATGAAATATGTCATGTACATGCTACACACATTTCAAAATTTATTAAAAATGATGTATATAATATGCCATAAATGACATATAGCCTATATTTCTGAGGTAATCTGCCACTTTTTTTTTAACTGTGCAGAGTTGTAGCTGCTTTACTGGGCCTACTACGCTACTGTATTTCAATACTGCTCTTTTTGGTGGTACTTGGAGAGACAATTCTTTTCTGAGGTGGTACTTGATGAAAAAAGTTCGAGAACCACTGATATAGCGCATTTCTTAATTAAAATTAAACTATTTAATTAAGTTGCTCTTATGGAAATCTAATTATAAATCATTGAAGACATACCAGGCTGCTCTGAAATCTGGTTCCTCTGTGAAACCCAGGCTTGTGAAGAGCCTGTAGGACAACTGGTTCTCTTCTTCTGTGAAACAGTACACTGGACAACCCTGAGAGTGAAGTTTCTTGGACATAACAGTGACCAGTGCTTTTGCATAGCCTTTTCCTCTGTGTTCAGGAAGCGTGTACAGAATTCCCAGTGCACAGGAAACATATGTTAATAACCATGCCACTGGTTGATCATCTGAGTCCAGGACACAACAAGATGGGAAGTTTGCAATCATATTTTTAATCATCACTTTGCTATCTTCACAGCCAAACTTCCAGTTACTGTTGACTAGTTCAAGATGAGACTCATTGAGGGAGGAAATCTTCAGTGATAAACTGCCAGAAAAAGAAAAGACACTTTAGTTTAACCTGTCATCTTTCTCACACTTGTTATCCTTGGCAGTCAAAAGGTACATCAAATAATATAAGTGATATTCCAAGATGATGAAAATTGTATGATTAAAGTTAAGAAATGTCAATTCAACCTTCATAATTTAGCTAAAAAGAATGATAAATTGAGTAATGCAATTCATGTTAATGCCCAAGACTACTTATTCTTATTTTTCTTGTAGCAAGTTTTACAAATGTTTTATCTCGATGAACTGAAAAAGATTTTAGACAGAAGTCCAACACCGAGCCAATAGCAAACATAAATTTTGATGAATGAAGACCTGTAATATGTAATGTTTCAGTTATGGTGCTTGTGCTAAGTGACATATTACAGCATTATAGGCTTATATAACTTAAACTATGTCCTGTCATAAAATGGTCTAAAGTGTGGCATTAATGATTATAGTTGATATACAGTAACCAGCGGTGGAAAGAGCACTAAAAAATTATACTCAAGTGAAAGTATCACTACTTGCCTAAAAATGTAGTGTAAGAAGAGTAAAAGAATCTGTTGTAAATATTACTCAAAGTAGGAGTAAAAGACTTTTTAAAAGTACTCATGAGCAGTGAGTATTATACTGTAAAAAGCTGATGCGTTTACATGTAATTTGTGCATGTGTGTGTAAGTGTGACATTCTGTAGTTCGTCTAGTTATTTCCCAGCAGGGACACAATCATTAGACGTTAATGTTAGGTTAGATTTACGTTGTGATGTCAGGTGACCAAAATTTATTCTATGTTTAATGTCTAATCGTTGCCTTGGAATTATAGGGTTCTATCTGCACTCCAAATGAATCTGAGATATTGAGTTTCAAAGTTTTGCATTCCATATAGCAAACAATATGTGTGTAACAGTTCTCTTTCATACATTAACATGACAGAGGCCCTAAATGTACTTTAAATAAACCTAAATGTTGCTGTTTTGATGAGCACCCAAAGAGCACCGACCATACATTTGAGCTTACCCCAGAGCACTTTTTGTTTGTTTTTTCTGATAAATTTTTTATTTGTAAATTACTTGTATATTACTTGCTTATCAACATTCTCTTACATTTGCAGATTGGGGTAAAACAAACAGGGTAAATGCAGATAGAAGCTTCTAATGCTAAAAAGTCATTTTACGCTTGCAATTATAAGGTTCTACATGGCAGATCATTAATTGAAGTATTACTTAAACAAAAAACATCACAATGTCAATAAGTTGTCATTTAATAAGAATATGTATATATCTAAATATTCACAAAAATGTCAGCTAGAGCCTTATAATTCTAAGGTGATAATGTCTTATGTCTAGCCAGCATCTAAGGACAACATTATTTTGATGTCCAATAATGACATCAAATGACGTACATGTTTGGTCGATTTTAGGTTATGAGAAAATGACCAAAATCCAACGTCGAGCCAGCATCTTAAGCCAACATCATATTGACGTCAGATACTGACATTGATTCATCAGGTATGGCAACCAAAATCCAACATCTGATAGAAGTCACAGTGGTAACGTCTACACAACGTCAAGCCTCCAAACAGTTTGCTGCATTCGCCCATGTCTTGAGGTAGTTCACTATAATGTGATTTACTTTCTTTGTGCGATTTGATTGGACAGGAATCGCAGGACTGATTTTTCCAATCCCCATGACAAGAAAAACTAAAGTAGTGACTGCAGGTTGAAGGAAAGTAGTGGAGTAAAAGAACAGATTATGCACTAAAAATGTACTTGAGAGGGTAAAAGTACACATTTTTAAAACTACTTAGTAAATTACAATTCCTGGGTAAAACTACTCAATTACAGTCATTTGAGAATTTGCAATTAGTTACTTTACACCACTGACAGTAACTCACCTATCAAACGCTGGAAGTTTTGATAGATCTTGTAGGACCAACATGTGGCACACTGCCTCTTTCTTCACAGGTACACCTCTGTTTTCTGCCACAACTTCCATAATTTTCTCATGCTTAAGCTCAGCAGCTTGAAACAAAGTTTAAAGTTAAAAAGGTGTTTAAAGATGTTCAGTGGTTCATACTGATTTGAAATCAGACAAGGCATATGCAAGTACCCAAACAAATGAACTTCTTCCAGTCAATGACATCTCTCTGTGCCAGCAGGTCTCTAAGGTAATCATCGTTTTTGGAGAAAACAGTCATGTCTTTGAAAGAATCTCCTTTCTGTAGGAAAAATGAGAAATTGATTGTTCAAATTATCTTTAACTGTACTTAAATACTGCAAATTATTCTTCCCAATGTTCTCAATACCTCACGATATTCTGGTTTAATGAGTAAAACTCTGAACTCTGGCCACTGGTCAACAAGCACGATAACAGGATCAGCTCTCTGCCCTGTTCTGTTCCGCAGCACAATGGATCCATATGCCTTTATGTATACAGGACAGATGAATTATACATTGGACACAACACAACGGCAGGCTTACTAATGTCTGCAGAGCACTGTAATGACTGTTTCTTCAACACGGACAGTAAATCGTGTTTCTGCAAGCGGCACTATTATTTCAAAATGAACTACTTTTATTAAAGGCTTTCAAACCTGCAGCGACTGTGGGAAGTAGTTTTTAAGGTCTACTTCCAGGTTCTTCAGATCCTCTGTTGTCAGCTGACGCATTACGAGGTTTCTCTGCTCATGTGCTTCGCTTGGTGTCTGCTGTCTGTGTTGCGTGCACCGCATTAAATAAACCCCTCTCTCTCTCTCACACACACACAGACACACAAAAATGACACTGCACGGGGCAGGCAGGAAAGCGAGGTTGTGGTTTGGAAAAGTTTAAAGTTTAGATTTTACAAGTGTTCGAGCAAAGCATTGGTTGTAGTGCCCCTCAATTGAGTAGTTTATTTTTATCATAGACTAAAAATTGTAAAGTTTGTCCTGGAGCCACAAAATTTATATATATATATATATATATATATATATATATATATATATATATATATATATATATATATATATATATATATATATATATATATATATATATCAATGTAAAACAGTGAATCAATATGTCCATTATGTAAGTTTTTCTAAAATATGTATTGTCTGCATTTTTCTATAACGTTTTCTGAATTATTTCACAACATTAAAATATTACCTTCTTACACAAACAAAATAATAACAACTCTAAATAAAATATTATTAGCCCCCCTTTGAATTTTCTTTTTTAAATATTTCCCATGTTATTATTAATGTTTAACAACAGAGCAAGGAAATTTTAGAGCAAGGAGTATGTTTGATAATATTTTCTCTTCTGGATGAAGACTTATTTGTTTTATTTTGGCTAGAATAAAAGTAGTTTTAACTTAAAAAAAATATTTTAGGGACAAAATTATTAGCCCCTTTAGGCTGTTTTTTCGATAGTCTGAACAAACCACTGTTATACAATAACTTGCCTAATTACCCTAACCTGCCTAGTTACCCTAAATAACCAAGTTAAGCCTTCAAATGTCACTAATCTGTATAGAAGTTTCTTGAAAAGTATCTAGTAAATTATTTTTCATTATGGCAAAGACAAAATAAATCTGTTATTAAAACTATTATGTTTAGAATGTTGAAAAAATATTCTCTCTCTATGAAACAGAAATTGGGGGAAAAAAATAAAAAGGGGGGCTAATAATTCTGACTTCAACTGTATATACACACACACACGTTTGTTTTTGTGAAAAGTAAGGACATTACATAGGTTTCCATTCATTTTATACGGTCGAAACAGTATATTGTATTGCCCTCAACCCACCCCACCCCTAAACCCAACCATCACAGGAGACTGCAGCTTTACTCTCTGATTAAACTCAGTCTGTATGATTTATGAGCATTTTGAGAAATGAGGACATCACCAATGTCCTCATATTTCACCTCCTTTTTGTAATACCTGCGTCATACCTACGTCATTATACAGATTTGTGTCCTGATATGTCACAAAAACACATACACACACACACACACACACACACACAAACACACACACACAACTAACCATTCAGGGAATCACAAAAGCATAATAAAAAATCTCTAATTGTGTATAAAATATTTTAATTACAGCAAGCATTCACCAGCATCTTTTTAAAATTGTATTTACACTGATCCTGAATTTTGCAACCTGCATAAATAAGATTAACATGTGCATGTTAGAATTTAGTTGAGAAGATTTACTTTTCACAGATTTAGTGTTTGATTTTCAATAGAATGCTTGCATTTCACTGTTGTGAACACTCTGAACAATGTTGGATCTGTGAATAATTAAAGATAATAATAATCTGTTTAATATGTAAATGAATAATTTTCGCCACAAAACTTGCTAATAAGTTAAGATGTGAAGCTGACGCCAACCATATAGCATGATTTGTATTGATCTGTTAACTAAATTCAAAGTGAAGTCTAGGACAATTTGGTGTCATTTTTCCAATGAAATTCTTAAAGATATTAACTATTCATATGTTAAATACACACAAGTCTTCATACACACAGTGCTGGGCAAAGATTAATCATATCCAAAATAAGAGTTTGATTTGATAATATATAATAGTGTGTATTATTTATATTTATGTTTAGTTAAAACACATACATATATGTTGTAACATTTAAATGTATATATAATTTGTATCATATTCAGATATATTTTATGTCTAAACAAACCTTTTTTTCTCCGACATATGCAATGCATGAAAAAAATGTGTATTTATACATACATAACACAGTGCATACACACAAATTGTCAAAACAGACTTGTATGGAATCAAATGAATCTTTGCCCAGCACTAGTAAAAAGATCTCATGTGCAAACTAGAAAAAGTGACATGGTGCTCTGCATTTGGTGTGATCCCAGTATACGAGCATTAATTTGTTTCTGAATGGTCTCAACAGCTAAACATAACCTAAACACAACTCGCTGTTTTTCACCTTGTAGGCTACTCTCTCACACACACATGCAGTCAGACAGAAGTTAATGCCAGATCGATACCAATAAATAATGGAAATCAAAACATGACAATCTGATATTTTCTAGAACTGGATGCAGCCCATATTAAGCACTGGTAAAATGTTGTAAATAATTAAACATTTCTTGTAAAAAAATATCATTTTGGTTAAGCAGGAAAAGCCAGGGGTATTAAATGTGTTTGATCTTAATACGTTTAACAATCAAAGTGCAGGCAGCCTTTGACTTTGACCGCAGTTTTAGAAAAAAAGCTTCTTTAATATTCAACTTATGAACAAATGTCATCTACAGTACATCCTGAATGGCCTAAAGGTGAAATAACAGCAACGTTGATGTTATGATGACAACTGTAGATAATCACTTATCAACTGGTGTGCATTCACTTTCAACAAAATAATTCATACCATGCAGCCCTATAAGACGGATCCTCTGTAAAACCAAGGCTCGTAAAAAGTTTGCAGGAAACTTGATTGCATTCTTCAATGAAGCAGTACACAGGATAGCCCTGACAATGGAGCCTCTTTGCCATTGTAGTAACCAAAGCTTTGGCATAGCCCTTCCCTCGATGCTCAGGTAGAGTGTACAGCATCCCCATGGCACAGTAATCATATAACAGCACCCAGGACACAGGCTGGTTGTTCTCATCTGTAATGCAGCATGTGGGGAAATGGCTGATGAGATGCAGAACGTTCCTGTAACCTTTGTCATCCCCACCAAATTTCCAAGTCTTGTTAACAACATCGGCATGTGACTCATTCAGAACTGTTATTCTGGACTCGAGATCACTGTGGAAGCAAAGATATTAAGAATCATTTAAACCCGCGTTTCTCAGCCACGTTCCTGGAGGATCACCAGTTCTGCACATCTTACATTGTCTTTAACCAAACACACCTGATTCAGATCATGAGCTTGTTAGCACAGTCTGGAAGACCTGTAATGGGTGTGACAGACCAAGAACTTGGTGCAGTGTTGGTGGACCTCCAGGAACGTGGTTAAGAAATACTGAGTTAAACAATATAGACTGCTTTACTTAAAAAGCATTGTACAAACACAAATCACTATTCATAAGTTTATACCAGATTCCTTTAAAGCAGTTGAATTTTACCATCCTACCTTGTAATAAGCTGAAGTAAATGACCAGGTTCAGGTAATGTCATGAGGTGAACCAAGGAGAGCCCTTTCATACGGACACCCCGAGCTGCAGAAATTTCCTTCAGCATCGGTAAATGACGTATATCACATCCTAAAATAATGTTATTAAATTAACCAGAAGCTGCATAATATAATATAATATAATATAATATAATATAATATAATATAATATAATATAATATAATATAATATAATATAATATATGAGCAACATCACACAAGTAGCAGTGCAATATGGCAGTATATTGGCACTGGTGGCAGATGTTCTTTGGCACAAGGCCACAGGTCTTATTGTCCCCACCAGTGATGATATACAGCCATATCCCATTGCTACTAGTGTGATATTGTGTTTATACAACAGTTCGTTGGCATAATCATTTATATAAAAACAATATCAAACACGGAGTCTCAAAATACTTTTGTATTGCTATTTATTCATATCTGTAGCTGATGTCAGAACAGCAGAAGCCATTACTAATTCAACCAACGTTATATTTTAGTATTTGAATGATTTGGGTTGTTGCAGAGAAAAGTGAAGAGGGGTTGGGAAATCGCAGAAAAAAAGTGAAAGTGAACAGAGGGCGGTTGAGGAGGGGGAAATCGGTAAAATAAGGTGCCGGATCCAGTGTGTTCTGGCACAAATTAAGCCCCGTGCACTAACCTTATAAATAAACTGCATAATCTAAACAACTAGGGCAACGCGGTGGAGCATTAGGTAGTGCTGTCGCCTCAGCAAGAATGTCGCTGGTTCGAGCCTTGTCTGGGTCAGTTGGCATTTCTGTGTGAAGTTTTCATGTTCTCCCCTCGTTTGTGTGGGTTTCCTCCGGGTGCTTAGGTTTCCCCCCACAAATCCAAAGACATGCAGTATAAGTGAATTTGCATAGCTAAAATTGTCTGTATTGTAAGGGTGTGAATAGGTGTCTGGGTGTTTTCCAGTTATGGGTTGCAGTTGGAAGGGCATCTGCTGCGTAAAACGCATGCTGGATAAGTTGGCGGTTCATTCTGTTGTGGCGACTCCAGATAAATAAAGGGACTAAGCTCGAAAAAAAAAATGAATGAATCTAAACAACTACATTCTTGCATAAAAGCCTCAAAAGTACAGTATGTTGTCCAACAGATGTAATATTTGTCAAACTGTGGTGAATTTACTGATCTGCTGTCACCCTATGCAGGCGGAGTAATACAGAAGGGTGAGGAGGCTGTACCAGTTCTGATATTGCAGAATCGCACAGCTATCGGCCAATCAGATTTGAGAACCAGACAGAACTGTTGTATAAAATATAATAAAAAGATTTGAGAAAAAATACCTCCTATTAAGAAGTATGTGCTCCAGTCAATTGCATTTTCCACAGTCAACATTCTTCTCAGTACTTCTTCATCTGTACTATATAAAGTCACCTTCTTCATAAAGTCTTTAGCTCGACCATTCTAATGATTTTAGAGGAACGTTAGTGATTTTGACATTAAAGTGATATCTTTGACCAAACATTTTGAGAGTTTATAAAAAGTTACTCACATTTGGGTCTGGTCGAACAATAATAGTGGTAAAAGCTGGCCACGAATCCACCAATATCTCCAAAGTGTTTGGCTTTCCTCTGTTCATGGCAAAGACAAATCCATATACCTGAAGAACATAAGGTATACACTTTAGTGCAACTGTAAAACAAGTATGGGCGATAAATAATGTGACAAGAAAAATATAATGAGCAACTCACCTTTATAGCTTTAGGCAGGTGCGCGTATAAAGAAGTCTCGGCTTCTTTTAACTCATCTGAATTTAAAGTCCTCATCGTATATTAGTAGAGATATGTATTTTGTCTACTTTCGAATAACTGCTTCGTAAAGCTAAGGAACCTCTGTGAAGCAAATTGTTCGTAGCTTATAAATTTGAATCACAGTGGTTACTGCATGTAGTTTTAGTCAGCTTGTAATAGGTAAACTGTACATGCAGAGAACGAAAATTGACAACTGGCTCTGTTCCCTCTGAATTTGCCTTTACGCAATCAAACTACATCTTCCGTATGAAGCGCAACTATACTGTACGGGATCCAGAATGGTTCAAAAAAGACCGGCCAAGAATTGAAAATGAATTTGAGAATCGAGTTTTCCCCGAACTTTTACAACATTAAGCGTGATTATTTGAGATTTGTTTTTACACTAACGTCTTTATTTTAAACTTACAAAATTCCAAAAGTATAAAATTAATTGCAATTGTTCAGTGGAGGATTATTACCACATACATGCATGCATACATACATACATAAATACATACATTATACATAGTTCAGCATAGCCTATTTGAGTACATCCCATTTTGATTATTATTTAATTAAAAAATTATATTTTTATCAATTTCTCTGTGAAAATGGGTAATACATGTTGGTGCATTTGCACAAAACGGATTTATAAACTAGATATATTTTTTTAAAATAATATTTTAGTTACAAAGCATCAAAATACATTTAAATTCATGCTAAATAAATTACAAACAACATTAAGAAAATTGTTTATATTTTTTGTCTCTTGGTTTTTGCTATATTTTTGAAAATTGTATTTAATATTTTTCCCTAACATAGAAATTTGGGCTACTAATTTTTGAACCATTATTGTAAGTTATTTTGCTAGATTAGTTCCAGATTTGGCTATGTATATGCACAAATACAATATTGTATAGCATCCCATAGAAAAAAACTTATTTAAATGAGAGATTTGTGGGGGGTGTACTTCAATATGCTGAGCACTGTACATACAAGCATACATAACTTAGAGATCATCAAATGTTTTTGCCTCCCCACAGAACAGATTATTGCATATATTTTACATCTTCAAACACCAATAAAAATGATGGAGAGAGTTCATAATGGTCTTTATTCTGCTGTCTTGTGGTGCATTGGAGAAATAGGCTGTTTTTTTTTTTTGTTTTTTTTTGAAGAATATGGTCTGCAAACTGGAGGAAAAAAACGTTCTATATCAATGATCAATCCATATGCGTTATAAGATTCACACCTTCAAAATGAAATCAACAGCGCATAACTTATTTGCTTTGGATGAGTATATAGCTTTGACAGACCTATTCACTCAAAAATAAAATGAACAAAATCTGTCACTGGGGTAGTACCTTTTTAAAAGATACTTTTGTACCGTACTAGTGGACATTAGTACCTTAGGGTATACTTTTGTAACTTTAAAATTCATCTTTGTACTTTTGAGTTACTATAAAAGGTCCACATTTGTACATTTAAGATATTAAAAATGTACCTTTTAGGAACCGGTTAGTAAAAAAAAATCCTTTTGAAAAGATACTGCCCCAGTGACAGATTTTATTTTTGAGTGTAGTAATAGGCAGTAACTTCCAGATATAACAATAGAAGAATATTATAAGAAATTAACATTTTAAAAGGGCATAAAGGAATGAAAAAAAAACTTAACAAAAACAATGTGTTCTACATACGTAAAGGGTGTACTTTTCTTCATGCAGTCTTAATGCGCATGATTAATAAGGAGTGAAATCTGTGCAAGTGTTTCACAAACCAGTCAAGCATTTTGCGAACAATCTGCTTAGCAAAGAATCACTCAACTCTCAAACAGACAGAAGCCACTTTGCAAAAACAAAATGTCAGTTTGACTTAAAAAAAAATATATAAAAAATGTTGTTAAGTGTTTTACAAATACAAATTATTTATCATAAATACACAGTCCATCCATATGTAACTGCATGTAGCCATTAAACAAGCACATCTAACTGCATACAGACAGCACAGATTTTCTAGGATGCATTTATTAACATCCTCTTACAAAAGCATCTAGACGGATTTCTTACAAATGTTGGATGGAGGAAAGTGTTCTTGCACAAATGCACTTAGGCCATTTCCAACACCAAGACAGCAGATGGCGCTATGGGTCAATTTACATACTCTGAGGAAAGTCTGAAACCACTATGGTTTACTTTTAGAAGTATACATATATAAAAACAAAATCACAATATTATCCACCAAATCAAATTACCTCTGCAAATTATTTTAGCCAAATAAATGAAGCACACTGACAAAATTGAAGGACCAACTTTTAATAAGCCAAGGATTAACAAAGACGAGAACACAAGGCTTATTTAGAAATTCTTTCAAACTGTAGTCCTTTTGGAGCAAAGGAGTCTAACAGGTTGGCAAGCTTGCATTAGCTTTTATGTATAAAGATTTGCAGCTGACATCAACAGGTTACCTGCACAAATACAATTCCTATTTTAAGCAATAGTAAATATTTAAAGTTCAGTATAATAAGCAATATCAAGTGAGTTATATTGCACTTTGTAAAAGCCTCAAACTGCAACAGTAGCATCCTCTACAGGCAGGAATTTTCAGTGACTTTAATAAAATTCTCCCATGACTTGATCCAGACCGCCATTCTGCATTGCCTTACCTACAAGTAAATAAAGATACCTCTTATGAAAATGGAGAAATGTACAGAACCTATTCATTGTAAATAAGACAGGGTGTATACCCGTGCCAGAGAGGGGTTCTTTTGAATGGCACACAGCTTCTTCTCTCTGCCCTTTCTGCAAGTGGTTCTGGCCACGTTCACGGTGAAGATGTATTTAATGCCAGCAACAACCTGAGTATCATCAAGAAATATGTTCAGACATAGTTAGGACAACCCTGATATAAATGTGTCATAAAGGAGAACTAAAACCAATCCATTAAAAACATTACTTCAATAATAACAACAAAAGCAAAAATACATAGCCATGGGGATTCAGTTTATACATATTAAGCTGAAAATACTGTATCTGTATCAATAGTTGCATGTTAAGGCAAATGCTTCAAATGTTTTAGTTGGGTAGTGTTTTTTCAAATATATGACAACTAAATAAAATAAATAAAACTATACTAAATAACGATAAAAAATAAACTGTATTTCTAAGTAAATTGTATTTCCTGGTAAAGTTGCCAAAAAAAAAAAGTAAATAGTAAAAATTATAGTAAAAAAGTAAAACTTCTTATACTCCTTTAGGGCAATTTAAACCTAAAATATTATTATTAAAACATAGTTTATACTTCTATCTATCTATTAAATAAAAATGACAAGCAGGCAACAAACTTCAAAAATGAAAGATTAAAACTACTAACTGAAACTATTAAAATTACAATATACTTACTCTAAATTAAAACAGCATTGTACTCATCTTTCGGTTTACACAATTTAACATACATTTTATTTACCCATTCATTGTCCTTTGTATTCTTGCCTCTAATAACCATTCATTATAGGCTACTAAACTTGAACTATGTTTTAATTTGTTTGCCAATGCTGACACAAACTAAGCTCAAACGTGTTCTACAGGAAAAAGCAACAACAAAAAAAAAATGTAAAAAATTTAAACAACCCATTACTCACACAGTGAAGCCTTACGACTTTAAGAAATACAGACCCAGTTAAACCAGATTTGACGACACATAACAGCGTTCAAAGATGTACTTTTAACACTTGATGTAGCCTAATGAAAATACATTCCCTGATAACTCAATTAAATGTTTAAATACTTACTTGTTTTTGGAGCTTGATGATTTTAGAGACATCACACAAATACACATCTCTGTTTTGTTTGTTGTACTGGGTCATTGCAAACTTTAACGCTTGTCTTGATTCTTTGTCCAATTTCGCATCCACTGGTCCTCCGACCAGGCCAGCGCTCGACAGGGTCAAATTCACCACAAAAAGCACCACAATAGCTTTAAGAAACATACTTGAACAGTGATTTGTCTTGATCTTTCCTCGTTGTGTCAGTAAGTCGAAAGCGTGATCAATTCTGCGGTTTGAAATGAACAAACGTCACTTTTAAGCGCTGTTAATGTGGGCGGGGCTTCACGTGTCCACCAATCGCAGTTGTAGGGAGAGGTGGATTTGACACGTTTACAGTGTTGGCAATTTTGTTGCTCAAAATAGCAACTTTTCATTCTAACCTTACAACATTTTTTCCAAAGTGCACCAGGTAACAAGTTTAGCAATGTTTAATATTAATTTGCTACTTTTAGCAATTTTTAAAAAAGTGACTAACAAGTTTAGCAATGTTTAATATTAATTTGCTACTTTTAGCAATTTTTAAAAAAGTGACTAACAAGTTTAGCAATGTTTAATGTTAATTTGCTACTTTTAGCAATTTTTAAAAAAGTGACTAAGTGTCGAAATAGCTGATGTGCGCATGCGCAATTAGCCCTGGTATAAAAATCTGACGGGTAGGATGAAATGTCAGGACACCAGCAACTGGAGCTGCAACAGCAGCTAATTGTATTTTTCTGCACAACTAGAGAGGCTGTAACCAGGGGCAGATTTAACTAATAAGCTGCTTTTCCACTATCGTGCCAAACCGTTCTAAGAACACTTCGGTACGGTTACGGTTGTTTCTCCACTGAGCCTGGAACGGCGCGGCACGATTACAAACCGTTCTTGGCCCGGAATTCTCGGCACGGTTAGACAACCGTGCTGAACTGTGCTGACAGATTCTGTGTGTTGACGTCGCGACTCGGTTGCTAAGCTACCACAGCTGGCTCAGCAGAAGCGCGCTAGTCATCAGACATCCCAAATAAACTACAGTACATTTAATATAAAATAATGATCCAGGTCTAAACGATACAGTTTGAAAAAGGTTTTAAAACCATAGAGCAGTCTCTGGCAGAGAAGTGAATAACTCATCACATTCTTACGAAGATATTTTATTCATTAAAGTTATTATTTTATTGACTTGAATACAGACCTACTTCGCCTGCCTGAATGTGAGTTTATTGCACGCAGCGCTGTATTTCACAGCACAAAACTCGCTCTGATCCGGGAGAGAGATGCCAGCGATTTGCGCTGCTGACTTTTTTTTCCTGCTGCGCATCGAATAAAGCGAATAAAGTCATGCTTAGCATCGTCGATGTCCAAATTCCACAACAACATAACTAAATCCATGGAACACGAACTTGCAGACTCTTTTAACAACGAGGAAATAATTGCACTTTTTAATTCAAAGCCAGGACAGCTTGTTAATTCCGGCGAGACCACCTGAAGGACGGCGTGTTGTAATGTCGGCTGTCCAAAAGACTTTGCTTGAAAGCTTTACGGAGCGGCACTGTAACTGTCCAAGGTAACGTTACTGTTGAATGATTTATATTATAGCATATGCACTAATAAACAAGTCAAAACAATGAATGAATTAAATAAATATGGATTCTTAAATGTCAGTATTGCTTTTACTCAAAAAATATCAATACGTTTTGACAAATGTTTTATAAAAATAAAATGAGCAATTTTCATCATTTCAGCTATAGGCAATTATATGATTCAGTTATACATATGACATTTATGAGGCATGTAACATGTTTCTGTGTTTTTGTTCTTGGTGATCTTTAATATAGCTACGCAAATATTTTCTAAAACGTCAAGCAATAATTCGCCTTCAGCTTGTTAGTTAATTATGAACACAAAATAATTATAATAATAAAAATAAAATTATCAAAATAAAAAGATAATAGAGCAGCATTTTGCTAAATATAATAGTGCTTTATATGCTTTAAATCCTGCAATATAAGTGTTGTTTCATATTCGTTTTTTTCACTTGCTGCATTCGTTATTTAATGTTTGAATAGTAAAACAAATAACAGCCATCGCTTAATTGGTTTCATTTTAACATCATAATGTAGTATATTTTATATCATTATCAACTTTTGATATAAAAACGCAGTGTAATTTAATTGATTGTTAAAAATGAAATAATTTATGTGCTGTGTTTTTATTAGTGAAAGTGCCCGCTCAACTTTGACAAGGCCTGTCCAAAATTATATTTCTGCCACTATATGCAAATGCACTATTATTTTTGTCTTATCATTCTTTATTTTTCTGTTATGTTCAGAGATTTTAAATATTTATTTCCCCTCTAATTATTTTCAATCATCACGTTACATTTTGGTAATTTTCCCTCCAAATAAAATTTAGCCAAAGCTGCGCAACATATAAATAAATAAGGGTGCACATGTACCGATATTTAGCACCCCTATTTGATAGAGCGGCATAACAGTGTTTAGTCACATGGTTGCTTTTGCTTTTATGAAAAAAAATACTTGTTTCGGCTCTTATTTAACTTTAATTGAACAAAGGGAGCCGTTTACATTGCGTTACCAAGGCAACTACTGATGCGTTTTGTGTAATGTTTTAAAGAGCTTTGTCGCAGCACGACAGTGGAAAATGAAACCGTATCCGTGCTGTCTGGCCCGGTTTGGCACGGAATGGAACAGTTCTGTTTAAAGAACGATTCAGCACGATAGTGGAAAAGCGGCTCAAGGTAAGCGGCTGCTTAGGGCCCCAGGAAATCTAAGGGCCCCCAAATAAGTAGTATAAATGATACTATAAACTATACATAACATTGTTTTCTATCATATGGTGTATGGTTAATTTGAACATAATTATTATATCTGTGCAAATGTGTCCCCCACTTTTAATCATGGACCAATCTAGCAGTCAAATCAGTAAATATTTAACTTAAAAACAAATTGTTGATTTATTATTTTTAGTTGTGAATTCAACTTAAGAAAACAAATCTTTTCGAAAGTTTTACAAGGTGCTTTGCATGTTATTATTATTTTGCATAAAGATAAAATGTAGAAAACTTGATATGTGCATTTTAGAACTTTTTGGCCCCGTTGCTGGAATTGCTTAGGGCCCCAAAATCACTAAATCCGCCCCTGGCTGGAACGTATACACTGTAAAAAATAATACCCCATATCTACTCAATAAATTTGAGGCAACAGATTACAAGCAATATTATTAATTAAATTCAACATATATGGATTGAGTAACAATTAATCAAATTAGCTTATTTAAAATTAGTCATTTAAATTGAGTAACCACAAAAAGTACTTAAAGAAATTAGCAAAATTTAAACAAAAATATTAATTAAATTGAACAGAAAAACCGACACAATGTTAATGAAAACTACTCAATGTTTTTATTTAGATTTAACATAAAATGTGTGGAGCCTGTTCATCAGCTCTAGAAAACAATGCTTTATATCTACACAATAAAAGTGAGGCAACAGATTACAAGCAGCAATACCGAGTAAAATTTAATTAAATTTAGCTCAAATTAGTGGAGCCTGTTCAGCAGTGTGGAGCCACAATGCAGATTACCAACAATCTCATAATAGACAATACATCATATAATACACAATAAAACATGTACATATAAACAAACTGATCATCTTAACAAGGACTTTGATAATGTTTTCTTAAACAGCAGTTTCAAACAATTTGACATTTATCAATATTGTTTAAAACAAAACACTTAAAGTGAAATTTATGTGATTTAATGCATGAAAGGTATTATTTGCCAGAATGCAGATTCATTGAAGCAAAGAGGACACTGCAGTTCATGGGAATACTATACCCTCTAATATCTTCCAGTGTTCACCAGACAGTCACTTGTAAAAACACTTTTCTTTGTCGCAGTTAAAATGCATATGTCAACCCCAGGTGGACACAAGCTCTGGGAATGTAGTCAAGAGCCGTGTTTTCACTCTCACGCTTTAAGTTAGCGTGCCAATGCGAGCCTGGGCCAGTCAAGTTTCCACAGTCACTTCCGGGGCCTGATCGGATACCATGGGCCAAAACAGTCCAGCTGGGGCTTTGGGCGGAGTAAAAGCAGAGTTTGCCTTAGTCTGGTAAAGATGAGGTCTATAAGAACTTTAACACTTCCAATGATGATAATGATGATAATGATGATAATGATGATGCCAGTGTCTTTAGGCGGTCACTTGTAGAAGGCCCCTGTTTAGGTCAACATTTCTGCCATCACAAGCCGTTCAGTTCCTGTCAGTTCATTGTCCAACTCCATTAAGCAACAGTAAAAAAAAAAAAGAAAATATGTTAACAATCTGTTTTCATGGTATGACACAGTCAGAAACTGTAAACATGATAAACATCATAAACATCATAAACTCTACCTTAAGTCTCAGATCTCTGTCTTACTCCAATAGTTCCTCAGCAGCTGTGAAGATCCAGCTGTGAAAATTCAGCGCTCACCTTAAAAAACAGAATGACAGAAAAAAAGTTTACATGAGTTTTATTGATGCACTGTAAAATATTTGATCCTAAGTTAACAGTAATTTACTGACTAATAATTGTATTACTTTCACAGTAAGCCACTGATTTGTTTTACACAAAATTACTGTGAAAATATGTGACTTCAAGGTAGATCTTAAGGCCCATTCCTGTGATTTTACCGTATTTTCTTGTAGAACTAACTATATTTTACTGTGAAGTTACAATTAATAGATGGTTACTGTGATTTAACAGTATTGTAGCTGAAATACTTAGTAACATGTATCTCCTGCATGCAACCTAGACAGTCATCCGTTCAGTCAGTCATTTTCCTGAAAAATTACTCATTTGCTGGTTGATGTGTCTTCTCTGCCTCTGACACTATACAACAAATTCTAATTAGTAAATAGTGTTAGACAATACCATTTTTGTTTTGGTTTTACAATAAGGGTCATAATGACGCCACTGTTACTTCATATGTGCTTAAATATCTCTCTGAAATCACGCAAAGACTTTCAAAGTGCGTAAAAGAGAATTAAGAGTTGAGCATGATACGACATGAATACTAGTTAGCGCCCACAGCTATATACATTAGATGTCGCCTACCCTGATGTTGTTTATTGGAAGGAATGCGTCAATAGAGCCGCCATTTTAGTACAGGGTATCGCTCCTTTCAAATGAACGTCATCTAGCGGTCACATAATCTAATGACTAAATATTATAACAACTTGATCAACTTCT